ATTGAAGTGAATTGGTTAAAATTGCCATATCATATGTAGGCAGCTTCCTTGTTCGATGTTTATGGGTAACGGCACATGCGCTTGATAATTGTGCTAATCCTCCTAACAGAAGGTTTTGAGAGCAATACCTTTTAAATAAAACATACTCCCTTTATGTCCAGTTCTCAAACTGTTAGGTATAACCTACGTTTTGCTCTGGATTCCAACATCACTGTCAGTTGATTTTTATTCCAGAGAAACGCAAATACTCAAGTTTAAATAAAGTTCAAACATGCTAATTTCTTAGAGAGGGCACCCGTTGGGCATTTGTCTGATTATCATGGCAAGTTTCACAATACTGTTGAACTGCTTATGGGTTAAGCTCCGGAAATTTACCCTAATCACTACTCTCATTTGAACAAGTCCAAAGTGTTGCATCGGGAATACAAACAATCCATGGTATAGCCAAGAACATGTAGAGGGGGTCATAGAAAATGACAAATACAAAATTCTTTGGAATAGGCCCCTATACAGCCTAAGACATATCCATGTTAACAAACCTCATCTTGTCTTTTTTGATAAGTCCAATAAAATCATTTATATTATTGAATTTTCTGGCCCTTTTGACGCTAATGTGATTGCCAAGATTTAGGGCAAATATGTGGACCTCACTATCGAAATGTCACGCTTACATCCCAAGTATCAAGTTGTATGACTGCTCATTGCTTTCGGTGCCTTAGGATTGGTACCTCCCAATCTGTTGACTGACATTGGGAGAGTACCTGGGTTTGCTACCAGGAATACAGCCCTTCTGGCTATCTGCTTATTACAGAAGGCTGCACTGTTGGGGAGTCTTCACATTCTTCGAAAAGTTCTGGGTCGGTTCGACTAAGTTTTGCTTCCTGGGAGAAGTCCCATTCCCTGTCAGGGCTGTGTGTAGAGGGAGCTAGGGCCCTGAGCTAAGTCCAATACTATGCACCAGATTCACCAAGTTAATCCTCAATTCACTACACACGTTGAAGCAGGTTATACTACAGCAAGGGAAATGTCGTGTCTGGGGGCGAGGGGTGTTCATTTTAGACTGAATAGTACTGCTTGAAAATGTAGGTCTATATGATGGTAGTGATGGTGAGAGCTAAAGTTCTGTTGGTAGATTGTTCCAAAGTGTTAGAGCACAGTATTTGAAAAATCTATGACCAAAGGTTTTTAAGCCGGTTTCTGCAGCTTGCATTAGGTGTTTCAGAATGGATTGATCTAGCTGGCTTATATTTAGGCAAAAGTTCCATCAGATACAGTGGGGTTGATTCATTGAGGCATTTGTAGGCTAATGTCAATTTTTTAAAATCAATTCTAGCTTTGAGAGGCAACCAATGCAGTGACGTCAGAGAAGGAGTTTTGGGTGTCCATTTTGAAGTTCTTGTAACAATATGTGGAGTTGTGTTTTGTATTGACTGAAGCCCCTTAAAGATCTGTTCATCAGATGTGCAGAATCTCTTGTGACCATATATTGAATGCGTCCCATGTTCCAGAGATGAAAGAAGTCTTGGAGATGTGGCTTACATGCTGTTCCTTTGTTAGGTTACAGTCCAGATGAACCCCAAGACTTTTCCCTTAATCAGAGAAGGCATGCGGGAGTCCCTAACAAGAATGTCGTTAATTCCTACCTGTTTAAGCTTTGAACTGATTCCAAATAGCACTGCCACAGTCTCATTGTTGTTTAATTCCAGCCTCTTTGAACTGATTCCAAATAGCACTGCCTCAGTCTCATTGTCGTGTAATTCCAGCCTCTTTGAACTGATTCCAAATAGCACTGCCTCAGTCTCATTGTCGTTTAATTCCAGCCTCTTTGAACTGATTCCAAATAGCACTGCCTCAGTCTCATTGTCTTTTAATTCCAGCCTCTTTGAACTGATTCCAAATAGCACTGCCTCAGTCTCATTGTCGTTTAATTCCAGCCTCTTTGAACTGATTCCAAATAGCACTGCCTCAGTCTCATTGTCATTTAAATCCAGCCTCTTTACAATCACCAATGATTTGATGGCTCTTGTGGAAGCTCTTTATCAGTTGTGTGTCGTCGGTATAGCAGTGGTAACTCGTGAGACACTTAATGATGACTTGACTCATACTTTTAGGACTATTGCATATGATATTGCTTGGTCTATAATGTCAAATGAATAAGACAGGCCATGTAGAACATAATAAATCTATATTGCCTCATTTCGCATTCTCAATAGTGCAGTCTCTGAACTGTGGCCAGCTCTAAATGCAGACTAGAATTTATCCATTATGTTTTTGCATCTATGTTTCTGAGAGTCGAATTGTCACTGCCTTTTAAAGCACTTTGGCGATGAAGAGTAAACTGTATTCTGTTTCGTAATTTCCCAGAAGACCTGGATTCAGAATATGTTTTTTTTATGAGAGGTTTGACAATAGCCTCCTTGAAACATCGTGGAACTTCCCTTGATGAAAAACTTAGTTTGATAATCTTTGGCATGACAGGATGTTGGATATTTGGTTGGATAGGATTAAGTAGGCAGGATGTTGGATATTTGGTTGGATAGGATTAAGTGGGCAGGATGTTGGATATTTGGTTGGATAGGATTAAGTAGGCAGGATGTTGGATATTTGGTTGGATAGGATTAAGTAGGCAGGATGTTGGATATTTGGTTGGATAGGATTAAGTAGGCAGGATGTTGGATATTTGGTTGGATAGGATTAAGTAGGCAGGATGTTGGATATTTGGTTGGATAGGATTAAGTAGGCAGGATGTTGGATATTTGGTTGGATAGGATTAAGTAGGCAGGATGTTGGATATTTGGTTGGATAGGATGAAGTAGGCAGGATGTTGGATATTTGGTTGGATAGGATCAAGTAGGCAGGATGTTGGTTTGGAGTCCATGATCAATTTCCGTACCTCTAACTCGGAGAATGGTTTAAATTCCTCCATTGTGTTGCCAATTAAACGATCAGGGTTGAGATTCTTTGGAGACTCGCTCCATGAACACTCTGGAACAATGTCAGTATGACTGTCAGATATAGTCTGTTCATCAAGACTATGTTGAAGTTTCTGTATTTCGCTGACCAAGAAATTGCTTAAATCATTGGCACGTCGTTGGGAGCTTAGTGATTTGGGCAGAATCTTGTCAGTCTTCTTGACCTTTTAACCTTGAAACTTTTAAAGATCGCCTGGCCGACTATCACTGTCCTTGATACACTACTTCTTTGTAGATCTGCCTATGATCTACTAGGAATCTGCTTTTCGACCCCTGGTGCATGCTGATCTAGTAGTTTGGTAAGGGAAGAGTTGTAATTTTGACAGATTTTGTCAATGTCATTTGATGGGGACATGTTCTGTATGTGGAATCTGTTGGTGAAATGCTGACTTTGACCTGATGCTGAAATGTTCTGCATGTGTGGCCTGGATGTGAAATTTCTATATATCTGGCCTAATTGTGAAATGTTCTGTATGTTCAACCTGATGGTAGAGTGTAAGTTTGACCTTATGCAGAAATGTTTGTACGTGTAACCTGGAGGTAAAATTATAAGAAATAAATTAAATTAATCCTCCATTGAATGATATTTGAAAAGGTGTGTCATTGACAATCGCGATATGGCATTTTGTCTGGCTTGGTGGTGAGACTTCTGTCTGACTGACCTGTCACTGGATAGTTCTGTTTGTCTGACCTCATGTTAAAATTGTCTATGTTTTAAGTGATTGTGAATTGTTCTGTATCTGTGACATGACATGTTCTGTATCTTCTAACCTGGTAGAGATATGTATAGTTTGTGTGTCCTGCCACGTGATTTGATGCACTTCGTGATGTAAGACCCGTTTTCTCACACTATAGATCTTGATTATCAATCAGATTGTCTTGACTGGGCGCTGCCATTTTGTTTGAGGCAAATGCAAGTGATACGTGAGGTGGAATCTGATATTAGTCCATAGGAGAGGCATAGAAGTGATTTAATTTGTAATAGCCACTGGTGGCGCTACGATTGAGCCCAGGAATTCCAGCCTAGTTCGGCAAGGGTGGAAACTGGACTTTTAAAGTCAGTTAACTCCCTTGCCTCAGGAAGATGGTGTCCTGCTGGTGAAATGACCTTTATTTAGATTAGATTAACTTATATTCAATGATATATGGAAAGTTCTGTTGTTTCAAATAGTGATGTAGCAATGTAGCCCTGGGCGGAGGCAATGAAGCCATGATTTCAGTAATGTTCCTGTTTGTGCGACCTGCTGGTGACATGTTCCGTATGTCCGACTTGATGCTGAAATACGTGCTGTACTGTCCTTGCCAACCATTACCTCGCTATGTAGCCCTGGGTAAAGGCAATGAAAGCATGGTTTCAATAATGTATGATTCCTGTATCCACAGGGACTCACCAGGGACTCCATCATGTGTATCTGGTGCCATGTCTTGATTACTCCCTCACAAAACATACAAGAGGCCATGCGATGCTGTTTGAATAAGTTGTGATGACAGGACACAATCAATCGTCCATCCACTGAAATGCTTACCAAACTCTTGCACAGCTCTGTTCAATTTGTTGGAATAGATAGTGATAAATTGAGAATGATTATTGTAGTTACAGACCTGACATATTGGAGGGTTTGGGGTTTACCCAACATAAAACAAATTGTTCACTAGGCGAGTCCTGAAAACTAAAGTGTCGTTGCTCCAAATGAAATAACTTGGCTCCTTTCAGGGGTTTTATTTTATGGTTTGTTGATTCGTTTCATTGCATTAGTCTGCAAAGAGTATCATTTTTTAGAAATGTCAACTTAAAAGCAATGCGTTGCCTCGGACACACGTACAAACATTTGAATACAGTAAATAGCTCTGTGTGAACTTCGACACGTTCACAGAACATTTCCTGGCAAGAGAGAAACAGACAGGGATTGTAGAATGCTGGTCAGTGTAATGTTGCTTATTTCCATGGTGCCATTTGTTGTGCCACAGAACACATCGAGCAGGTTAACACACCAGATGTTTCGAAACTCTCTCCTCCGTGGTTATCCAATGGACATTCCGCCATATTCTTCAAAGAGATCAGATGATATCAGTGTGGACGTACACTTCTTCCTAATATACATCAAGGATTTGGACGTCACCAATCAAGTCCTCACTGTATTTGGGACGCTGCTTCTGAAATGGTACGATCCGCTTCTTACATGGAACAGTTCATCACCTGAGAATCCTACTCATCTCCAATTAAAGTCAAGTGAAATATGGACACCGACATTACAGTTTTCCAATAATGCTGGCTCCCCACCAGATTTCAAGAATGCCTACATATACACGAAGGGGACTGGTGATGTTTTAATGTCTCTCAGTGACCTGTTCCACACTCAATGCTACATCGATGTCACACGTTATCCATTCGACCAGCAACAATGTAACATCATCCTTAATGCAGTGGCAGGCTACAGTTTCCAAAGCAGCACTGTTTATTCCCACGCTTTTGAAAGGGTCACAGGGAAGAGTGTTGAGTGGAAGGTAAATAATATTTCTTCATATATTGACACAATTCCTGAACACTTTGGATTGCTAAACGTTGTTAAAATCAAGTTTATACTGTCACGTGAGTACACGTTTTATCTTCTGACTGTCATCACACCCGTGTCTCTGTTGTCCCTGATGAATGCCTGTGCCTTCCTTCTGCCTGCCGAGTCTGGAGAGAAGATCTCCTACCTCATCTCAATCCTTGTCACGTACGCTGTGTTCCTTAATTTCATCAATGAAGTGTTGCCCAAGTCAGGAATTCCGTCTCGCCTCGCCATTTATCTGATATTGGTGTTCTGCCAAAGCTGTGCCGCCATCCTGACTACCCTTGGCCTCCTCAACATGTATCATGAAGCAGACGACAAGAATCTGTCCATCACTGGGTCGACACCTGTTGGAACAATGTCTACAAGGGATGGTGGATCACGTCTTGAAATTCAGGGCTCCAACGGCGCAAAGGTGTCTCCGACAGAATCGGACGACAACGTGACCAAAGTCCCGAAGATAAGAGGGAAGAGATGGATCAAATCACTTGAGAGAAAACTGTTTTTGGTGTTCCTGGCATTTGCTCTGTTGTCGTTCATTCCTCTGTTTGTGTGAAACTTATTTGGACATTTCACTGCAAGAAAAACTTTAGCACTTTGTCCATATATCCTGATTGTGTACGGTCACTTGTTTATTATCTAGTAGTCGTCAGCCTAAGTTCAGTTATACAGCATGCAGTCATATTAAAGGGGGCCTCTGCTCCATGGTTTGGTGCCCAGTTCCAGTCTAGGACTAGACATTCCAATCAGTGTGAAGCCGAGACCAGCATCTGTGTAGTTGCTGGATTGATTGAGTAGAAAACAAGTGACAAATTTGCTGGGAGAGGTAATTGGCCCAATCCGAGACCTCCTTTAAATGTCATAGAACTGTGTGACCGTTATTCAGCATGAAATATAGAAAGCTTTAGTCTTGAAACGCTCCATTGTGTTACAAGATCCCACTGTACAGGCATCATATCAGCTCCAACGCATGTGATCAATGTGCAGATATGACAATATATCATACAATCTCTGAAAGTGTTTAAGCAGCACAGTTGTGAATGTAAGCACATGTGGCCAAGTGTAGCAAATACCGTGTTGATGTAGTTGAGTTCATGTAAGGATGTGAAACTCATCAGCCATAGCTGGTTCATTATGTTCAGATGAGTATATCAATGGAGTCTTACCGGGTATATGTCTGTCCGCATGATACAATGCCGAAAACTGTATTAATGTGTTTTGCCAGCTGTTTGCTCATTGCACGATCACATATGTACATATGTATTGCAGATGCTAAATGTATCATCCACCTAATGTTTTGATGAGAAAATGTGAGTCCTGTTCGTATACATCATTCAATGTCAATAAAGTTATAAATTGTCCCTCCTGATATTCATTCTACTTCTGTCTCTCAGCAGCCCCCATGGGAATTCCGTGTTAGAATAAATCACTGAACTGTACAGGCCGCTGTCATATGTCTGGAATATTGCGGGGTTACAAAACCCATCAAATCTCTGAATCGACTTAAATACTTCATGTCAAGTCTGCTGGACGAGGGGTACGTGTCTCCCTATGTCTGGTTGCATTCTCATTCCCTTCTCAACTCTATCTTTATTCATCCTCTTCTCAGCTCTAGGCTCTAAACTGTACAGCTGAGACTCGACAGATACTGTATTGAATAAGTTTCATTTCACCCTGTACGTAACTATTTTTGAGGGACTATATGTTAGTATTGACACCGGGTCATAGTCATTGATCATGCTGTCCACCATGTGTACTGATAAAAGATTCAAAATCTTCTTGGGAGAAAACTGTTCTTGGTGTTCCAGCCATTTGCTCTGTTGTCGTTCATTCCTCTGTTTGTGTGAAACTTATTTGGACATTTCACCAAAGAAAGACAGTTTGTCCATTAAATCCTGATTGTGTACAGTCACTGGTCTGTTATCTACTAGCCGTCAGCATAAGTTCAGCAATTGAAATTATACAACACACAGTCATCTTCAGTGGCAACTATGCTTCTGGTGTCCAGTTCCAGCCTAGCACTAGACATTCCAGTCAGTGTGAAGCCGAGACCAGGGAATCTGCTAGATTGTTTGACTTTAGCAGAAAACAAGTTGCTTTTGACCTTCAACAAATTTTCTAGGAGTGCCCGATCCCCTCTAAATATCATGTAATTGTGTGACCACTTATTCAACATGAAAAAACAGGAATCTATGTTCTTATGAAACGCCCCATGATGTACAAGATGCCACTTTACGTCCATCATATCAGATATAAGGAACAGTGTAATCGATATGTCAGAGTTACAATAGATCATACGATCCCTAAAAGTGTTTGAGCAGATTCGTCTTGAATGTCAGCACACGTGGCCACATGTAGTAAGTGCTTGAAAGATCAATAGATCATAACCGTGTTGATGTAATTGAATTCATTATATATATACCGGGTACTTATATATAGAGTTTACACCCTTCAAGATAGGTTTGCGTAAAATCGCAAAGTACAATGAAGAACAAAGCGTGTGTTTTTTCGGGATAAAACATTGTTCTATCATGACGTCATTTCTGGAGATTCGAAAATGCGCTCGCAACTTGATGATGTCATATATTGAACGACGTTACTCTTGAGAGTGAAGTGTCTAGTAAGTTGTTCCCCATAGATGTAGCTGGGCTATGCACATAAACGTAGTGGTCGAACAATCGCATCCATAGTGGGAGAGATATGACAAATGGTATTGGGAGAAATGGTACAGATGATCGACATGAGGATTGTGAGAATATACCAAACTTAAGCCACATGTTCGTAAATTAGACTTGTACAATATTTTCGAGGTTGGATTCTGTTAAGGGAGTCATCATTATTAAAATTTGGGTAAATAATTTTAATTTTGTACATCTTATCAACATCCTTAAAGAGACTGTACATAATGGTGATCTATTCATTTAAGAAATAAACGACGGTTTATTCTTCTCCCTGCAGTGTTTTATTGTACTCCCACTCGTCGTTTATTTCTTAAATATGTATATCGGTGGTAACAAATAAACCACTTGATATATAAAACATGTTCTTAAAGTGCAAAGAGTATACCTATAATCAGGATGGCCTTTTTACTTATGTTAGATTAAAAGCTTATCTGTTACAAACACGCTTGGCATCCTTGGCTTTTATACAGGAGATGCGACCAAACGCGCACGTCGGAGTAGGAAGCCATATATATATATAAACTGCTGTATTTCATCTGTCAGTTTGTATACAGTGTTCAAAGACGACCGAGGATACTGTCCATCTGTCTAAACAGAAGCTGTTTACGTAACAGGTGGTTTGAGCTGTTTACTGTTAATCTATTGAGACTGCCATCAAGACAACTTATATCTGAGTAGACTCAATACCCTCAAGTTAAGTGAAAAAAATGATTGCTGATATCAATTGTCCTGGATTCCCAAGAGTGAAAATATCATGATAATTATTTAAATTATCAAATGTCCAAGTGAAAGTGCTGAAATCATATGTTCTGTAATCAGATTCCAAAACAAAACTATTTTTGGGTGTGGCCTAGAGTTACCGGCACAAAGGTGCAGCAATGCGTGACAAATGTTTTCATAGGCTGATATGTAGACTTGTGATGCTTGGCAACTGTACATATACCCCAGGGAGCGGTTTATCTAAAAGTGTTGTTATTTCTGTTAATCCTTCAAAAATAACATTGCATACATTGCTGAGAATGTGAAACAAGCTTTGATTTTGACACTTGGAATAATTAGAATAACAATTAATGTCTGTTACAAGCTTTATACGACTAACTTCCTGTTTGGGTACCATAGACGTGACTTTGTACTTACCCAGCAGCTGGCCAAGGCCCATTGTCTTTGTGTTTGTACATCCAGCATTCGTTTACTCTAAAATATATATAAGATAATTGATAAAAGGAACTCTTTAAGATAGTGTCATATTTGGTCAAGCTCACATTTAACCTGGTGATTTACATAATTCAACGTCCATCTAGATGTGGAACAGCATTGTGATAATCTTTTCTGGTTGGCAAGAAGTTGTCTCTTCTCCCTCTCAGTGATATGATCCAAGTTTCTATATTTCTTATTCTTAGGTGGCAAACTTTATTATCCTGCTCAAAAAAACACAGCACATAATTCTCTGTAAATAAAAAACTCAGCCTCCATCTGCTTGAAAAAAATGACTCAGCCTCTATAAAAAGTCTCGACTGCAATATGGCCATCCTTATCAATACAGAGTATTTCATAAGTAATGCCACAATCTTTGACAGAGTCATGACCATGAGAGACAGATTGCCTGTAACGTTATTTATTAATAATCATTTGAAATCTTCCATTTCAAGAGGCCATACCAGTTGTTGACTGTGAGGGGAAATGACTATAAAGCATCCTTTACACTTACTTGGAAAACAAAGTACAATATAAACATATGCATCAAGAAAAATTGCAATAACCTAAACTGGCGAACAACATAAACGTTTCCAACCAACATCATTTGTTCCTAAAAGAAGGAACAGGACCAATGTCAAGGAAGATACTTGTTTTGTCAAAATTGCCCTATTGCAGTTTGAGATACATCAGTTGTGAGGAAGATGGGTTTGTTCTGATCGGAATATGCAAAGATAGGGGCTCTTTTAGGGCTTGCTTTAGTTTTTCGAATGCCTGTTGGCAATTGATGGACCAATCAAAAGACGTGTCCTTTACCAGAAGGTTGTATGGAGCAGGGACAATGCCAGAACAGTTTGCTACAAATTTGAGATAATACGATGACAAACGTAAGAAATGATGCACGTCATGGACATTTTAAGAGGCCAGAACCTGTGTGACTGAATCTATTTTGAAGGATCGACATAGATGCTGAAGATATGCCTGAAGTAGGTGACTTGTTTTGTTCCGAATCTACATTTGATTGATTTTAGAGTGAGTCCTGCTTCATTGATCTTTTGGAATACTGTCTTGAGGTAATTCAAATGTTCTGAAATCCTTATGATGTCATCTACATATATTAGTATGTAACACCTATTCATTTCTTTTAGTGCCTCTGAAATGATTTGCTGAAATGAGCATTTTTTTACCAAAAGGGACTTGATTCCATTCAAAAACACCATGAGATGTAATGAAGGCCTACTTGTGTTTTGTGTCTGGATGGAGTGGTATTTGCCAAAAGCCACTAGCACAATCAAAGAAACTAAAACTTGTGGTAGCGGGAAAAATATGGGTTTGGTAACTGTATTGAGGTGTCTATAATCAACTCTAATGTAGTAAGAGCTATCACGTTTTTTAATCTATGGCAACAGGAGAGTGCCATTCAGAAGAAGTTGGCTGTATGGTATTGCTGGCTGGCACCTGTCTGGAACATTCTTTTCTAATGGTTGTGTTTTGCCTATAAAAGGGAGTCTAATGGGTCTGGCGTCACCTCTTTCTATTTTGTGATGATGTAAGTGAGCGAGTCCTACTTCTGACCAATCTGAGGCAAAAACTGAGCTTTGTGATTGGAGAAATGCTTTTTACTGTACACTTGTATTTTCAATATTTTTAACATACTCTTTGGGACAAAAGCTCCATAACGTTCAGGTGTATTGTTATGGTGCAAACTACTTCAATAGGTTTCTTTAAAACTTTGTTTATCCCAAATACCTTATTTTTTCAATATGTTTCCAAAGTGCCCCTAAATTCCATCTCCTTACAAAACCTGACTGACATGGTAAATCAGGAGCCCAGATCATTGACAGAAGCGGACGGATTGTATGGCTAGTGGTGGCGTCGTGCAAGGCCGCCGGCTCACCAATTACTATGTCAACGATGAAGAATCGGCATCTGACTTCCTGTCTGTGTGTAAGTGGCAGAGCGGGTCTGCACTCTGTCCGGTGTGCATTCTGTCACGTGATTACTATCAACATTTACCTTTTCAACCATTACTCCCAATCAACAATAAACATGGCTGCGTTCTCCTAAAACTTCACCCCAGAGCTTTGTCTTCCGTTGTGAACCCTGAACCCTGAATTACCAACCGAGGGCAAAACACGACGTGGTCATGCTTTGCTATTTGATGTATCATACTAATGGCTTGTTCTTTCAGTTCTACCCTTGATCTTAGCGTGTCACTATCCAACGGTTTGGGTGTGGATGAACAGTCATTCCTTTTATTCCAATCTTTGTAGGTTGGCACGGTACAAGTTCAGCAAAAGTTTCTCTTTCAACTTAGGTTCCACTGATATGTGTTCTGTAGTACTGTAGCGATTGATTCTCAACCATTGTGTAACAGTATTCGGGGTTCCATTGATCTGTGTTCTGTAGCACTGTAGTGATTGATTCTCAACCATTTTGTAACAGTATTCGGGGTTCCACTGATATGTGTACTGTAGCACTGTAGCAATTGATTCTCAGCCATTTTGTAACAGTATTCGGGGTTCCACTGATCTGTGTACTGTAGCACTGTTATAAATGTATATTTGGTTGACTTGGTTGAGACTAAGCAGTACAAAAAGGTTGCAACATAATTAAATGTGTATCGATGGAAAGTTGTTTCATCAATCCATTTTAAAGAAACTATGTATTTTGTTACCATTATTTTGAACTTGACGAATTGCTGTCTAGTCGCATCACTGAGAAAAAAGGATGCTATTGAAGAGTTAAGGTCTGGAAAACACCAGCGGATGCTTGCATTCATGAAATTATCTAACATTTATTTTCTACCATTTCTTGGGGAAAACTTCATTCCTTGATCCATGGGACATGTGTTACTAAACATGTTGACCGTAGATATAGTACATCTCTTTCTTAAGGATAATTCTAAAAAATGAAAGAAAATTTCGTCCCAGGTGTACTGAGAAAACAATTTTGTTAAATGCTGAACTTCTTCATTGATCACATCTGTGTGTAATTTGGGGGTACTACATTATGGCAAGAAGTAGACATCCACATGGGCACGAATTGTTTCCCTCCTTTTGCTGATCTGTTTCTTTACAAGTATAAATTGTAATTCCTGCTCGGATTGGCAAAATCAAAACAAGGGAATCTGGACAAGAATTTGAACTTAAGCTTCAGATATATCGTTGATCATATAATTTAGTAACGATCAAATAGTGAATTCCCTTCCACTGATGAACCCCTTGATCTAGAAATGAAAGAGACCAGTGAAACGGCCTCATAGGTTTCATATTTAGATCTGTGCAAGACTATTTAGAGCAACAAAATACTCTCCACAAAACTGTATGATAAGAGGGATGACTTCCACATTCCAATAGTCAACTTTCCCTTTATGTCGTGCTATATTCCAGCAACTCCATCTCACAACAGTTGAGGTATAATCGAGCATTCTCTTTCTATGAAAAGCGTTATACAGCTCAAAAGTTGTTTGATCAATGTTATAACATTTAAGGCCTCACTTAGACATGTGGAGGACATTTCCAAATTTGAGGCATCAGTGACTAAAATGATGTCCGATGCAATTGACTATTTTGACTTGAACCATATGTTCCTGTTCTTTTTCAGGTGAACAATTTACTTGCCTTTGCATGCGTTTGTGGTGGGTACCACTGGTGGGGCAGGATCCGCTCACCTTTTCACGAACACTTTTCATCACTGTTTAATAGTGATTCAAAGACACATGTTCATGATATAGTTGGAATCGTACAGTCGACTCTGATTTTGGCAGAGATTTCCTATGAATACGGAAAGGTTTCGTCTCATTTATTCGGTTTGTTTGCTGAAAAAAGGCAAAACACTATCACTGACAGCACAATCAATGTCCATTGTGTGGTTTGTTCGCATTGTTGATCTACAGAATCCATTAACATGTTTTATTGTTCACCAAGCTGTCATTCATTAATGTTTAATTCATTTCACTGCATTAGCTTTCGATCTATTTGACATTATCGATCTTCTCACAACATGTTGATAATAGATTGTCATTTACAAAAATAGAAACAATAGATGTATTCACAAATGCAGCCATGCATGTTTGGTTCAGTGCAGCAACCAGATGCTTAGTATAATCAGTGCCGCACTACTGTACTGGTCAGAGAGAAACTTGAACTTGTCACAAACAGTCGTGTTGCAACACACCCAGGATGCTGGTCAGTGTAATGTTGGTTATTTCCATGGTACCGTTTGTTGTGCCACAGAACACAACGAGCAGGTTAACACACCAGATGTTTCGAGACTCCCTCCTTCGTGGATACCCAAAAGACATGCCGCCATTACCCTCAGAAGATCCATACTTGGTCAGTGTGAACTTTTCCTTCCTGCTACATTATGTCCAGGGCCTTGACGTCGCTAGTCAAGTCCTCACTGTCTTTGGTACGCTGATTTTCAGATGGTATGACCCACTTCTTGTTTGGAACAGTTCATCACATGAGAATCCTACTTATCTCCAATTACAGTCAAGTGAAATATGGACGCCTCCATTACTGTTTTCCAACAATGCTGGCTCTCCACTAGAAACAAGGAATGCCTACATATTTGCCCTTGGAGATGGTTATGTTACCATGTCAATCACTGACCTGTTCCACACTCAATGTTTCATCGATGTCACACGTTATCCATTCGACCAGCAGCAGTGTAACATCATCCTTACTGCATTAGTTCCATACAGTTTCCAGGCCTTCAATGTTGACTCCAACCCTTTTACTACCATCTTGGGGAAGAGCGTGGAGTGGAAGGTAGATAACGTTTCTTTGGATGTAGAAAAATTGCTACATTTTCACGGCGTAAAAGAAGTTGCGAGAATTGTTTTTGGACTGTCACGTGAGTACACTTTTTATCTTCTGACTGTCATCACACCCGTGTCTCTGTTGTCCCTGATGAACGCCTGTGCCTTCCTTCTGCCTGCCGAGTCCGGAGAGAAGATCTCCTACCTCATCTCAATCCTCGTCACGTACGCTGTGTTCCTAAATTTCATAATTGAAGTGTTGCCAAAGTCGGGAATTCCGTCTCGCCTTGCCATTTATCTGATTCTGGTGTTCTGCCAAAGCTGTGCCGCCATCCTGACTACCCTTGGCCTCCTCAACATGTATCATGAAGCAGACGAGAAGAATCTGTCCATCACTGCGGCAACACCTGTTGGGACAACGTCTACAAGGGATGGTGGATCACGTCTCGAAATTCAGGGTTCCAACGGCTCAAAGGTTTCTTTGACTGAACCAGATGACAACAAGACCAAATTCCCAAAGACAAGAGGGAAGAAATGGATCAAATCACTTGAGAGAAAACTGTTCTTGGTTTTCCTGGCATTTGCACTGTTGTCTCTGATTACTCTAATCGCGTAATCCTTATTTAAACATTTCCCCTGATGAAACATTTGTCATCTATTTTACAAACCTACTGCCGATTGGTATCTTGATATCTCATAGTGACCTCGAGCAAAACTCTTTTTTACATTTTCAACCAAAACCAAGGAGCACTGTGTAAACTAACATCACTCATCCCATATTATTAAGGAACTTCAGATTGTCCTCACGAGTGGTTGAGGGTGGTATTGTCTGTCATATCCTGATAATATTCTGGTCGGGACATGAGTGGCACAGTGGCCTTGGGCATGTTTGAAACCAAAGACCTTGGGTTTGTATCCAGTATGTTTCGAGGTGCGTGAGCACCATGGACGTTTGAAACTATTGAGTCCTGCATATTTATGTATTTATTGCCCCTTGCTCCCTCATAAAGTGGAAGTCACTTCTGGAAGGTTCTGGGGGGCACGGGTGGCCCAATCATCTCAAGGCGCAGCAATTCGCTGTACAGAGTTGTGTCCCTTGGCAATGCCAGAAACCTATGATTGTGGGTTTGAATCCTGATTCCCCCCCCCCCCGATTATCTTTCTAGGTTTGTCAGCACCATACTTGTGCTTGTGGGTTTCACCGAAGTGGTAAACGTCTGAGACTTGCATCACTTTGGGCTTTCCTCCCACATTAAGCTGACCCGCCGTGATATAACTGGAATAATGTTAAAGTGGCATTAAACCCAACTCACTCACTCACTGACTCTAGAAGGTCCTGGATTCGTCTAGTTGTTCTAGAAGATTCAAGATTACACTTGACTCCAAAAGCATCCAAATATAGTAACTTCAACACCATTGCTTACATTAGATAGTAATACATTCCTGACAACTAATTATTGTTAAAACCTAATATTATGAACTTCTACTGAATCTCAAAAGAAACAATGTAATACGATTACAACATTGTTTAACAATGAATTACACTGCCATATAACGTCAGGTAAACCAGAGCAGTGACTGGAAACATTAGCAGCGATCTCACAGTCGACTCTTCCGACAAGTTAGTTAGGACCCATACTGACCCAGAATCACCACAGTGTCCCACTTCTGAGGATCAGGTGGCTATAGCGTCTCTTACAAACCATATATTTAATAAAACAGTCTCACCCCTTTCCCTTATACAGAATGAGTTTCAAGTCTTACCCAGTTTACATACATCATATCATACAGATTTGACAGGGTGTGATCATTAAGACAGGAAAAAAGTGCTGGATAGTTATTATTGTCAGTGTATTTGAGCAGGTTAGTGTTTTGAGTGTTAACTTTCATGCTCAATGTACTCAGTATATGTGACCGCCTCCGTGGTCTAGTGGTAGAGCGTCCGCCCCGAGAGCGGAAGGTCCAGGGTTCGATCCCTGGCTGCGTCATACCAAAAGACGTTAAAAGATGGTACTTGTTGTCACCCTGTCTGGCGCTCGGCATTATGGGGTCGGCTCGGCTTGGCTCAGAGTCAGTATACTGTGTCTGAGTGAGGTATTCATGTTAAACTGCGGCATGGTATCTCAATGTGCTAACACTATGAATAGGCATCAGTCCAGACTAGTACAAGCAGCCACACACACACATGCATGCACGTCGCTATATAAGTGCAATAATCTTGGACGCAGCGTTAAACCCAATTTCACCTCCCCTCACCTACTCAGTATATGTGACCTACAGATCTGCAATGCGTGGATCCTTGAGTTCATGAAGGAGTGTGAAGCTCACCATCCACAGCTGATTCAATAAGCCTCGAGTACATCAATGGAGTCTTCTGTCTTTGGCAGATTGATGGACATGTTTTCCGTGCGTTTGTCTGTTACAATACTGAGAATAATAATAATGTGTTTAACAAGTTGTTTGCTCATTGCCTGACAAAGACAGTATATATTCATTTAGTTATGTAAGATGTTAGATGCTGTATTAAAATTGACAGTCCTTCCGTCCATGTGTCCCCCGTCCGTGCAAGATGTCATTTGTGAGGCAGAACTTGAAACATGTGCATCATTTCTTCACCAGGCTTGGCACACAGCTAGGTCTAGTGGTGAACTGTTACTTTTGATTTTTTGGATTTAAAACAAATCAAGTTTCCACGGCAACATCTTTGACTTGGACTGTAAATGCACAGCAGATCTTGAAAACAGTACAAAGTGTCTTCACCAAACTTTGCACATAGATATGTCTAGTGTTGAAGTGGTTCCTCTTGTAACATGGCTGTTGTAATGAAATTAACAGAACTAGCTGACGTATCCACAAGTATTTACTATTGCAGGGGATATCAATGATTTTTGTCCTCTTGTTATGCACTTAATTCTTTGATGGGTGTTTTGTATGCAATTTTCAATTTGAATAAAGTTATAAAACCTCACTGCTGATAAGTTATTCTTTATACTTTTTTGTCTAGTGTCTAGTGGTATTGGTTTGCAGGGAGAGCGGAAGGTTAGATTAGATCCTCGGCCACTCAATTGGCAAAAGAAAGGCGAACAAAATCCCAATAAATATCCGAGCATCCTGAAACATGTCACATGAAGTCTACTTGACGAGGGTTCAAGGTCACCCAAGGAAGCCTTATCATGAACGTGGGACATCCTTGTGCATTTGCATGATCTACGTCTTTCCTTTCCATCGGACAAAGGAGAACTGTGTCTTGTCCAATCTTCCCACATTGCTATTTCTGAGATGATGCTCCAAATCTACACTCCCTCAATTGTCTTGCACCTGAAGACTGACATTTCCAATGCATCTCCCCATCTAGTTGCGTGTCCACAGAAACTGTTCTTGTCTTGACGACATATTACTGAGTAGGAAAAGTGTGACTGACTTAATCCCACTGTCAACAATATTTCAGTCTTTTCACGCCGCTTGATAATAATCAAATCCTGATCAGTGTCACGTGTCGACTTCCAAATTGAAACAAGAAGTTAACCCAAGATAACGCTTGACTCCAAAAGCATCAAAATATAGTAACTTCAACACCATTGCTTTCATTACATTCCGTAATACATTCCTGACAACTAATTCTTGTTAAAACAAAAATATTATGGACTTCTATTGAATCTCACAGAAACAATGTAATACAATTACAACTTGGTAACCGTTGAGTGTCTGAATGAGGCACAGTGTGCGTTCTTTTGTGTTGGAAACGGGCAGAACAGTCGGTGCTTTCTCAAAGGTATCCTGTCCTCACTTGGCAAGTGAATGAGTCACAGGTCAAATCATAGAAGGAAAGCCTCCGATCACCCTCGTCTCTCACTTAAATAGGAACAGCCAGTCTTCTGGAAAATACTGCCTCGTCAGGAATAGTGGAGTCCTTCAACAAATGTCCACAAGGCAGTAGACAAGATCCTCACGGCGGAGCTCTTTATACCGGGAGGGTAACGAAGGTGTCAAGCTCTGGGCAGAGTTTGGACCATACACAACCAAGGGAGGTCATTCTAAATCAAGGTTACTACCATTTCTCACATTATATGAGCACCTCAATCAATTTGCCACCTACTATCATCAGAAATAGAGTTACCATATACACGGACATCAGTAATAAGAGATATTTTGTTTTCGCAACAGCTTGTAAATCTGTGTGAAGCATTGATGTAGGACTCTGAAATATGATGTTTAAATGATATGATTCAGTTGAAAGAGTACTAGCATTCTATATTAAACGCAATTCAATATTGGTTATTCCAAGATGTTGGGGTAACAACATGTTTTATCCTCGTTTAGAAGATGCCAGAAGCATATCTATTTCCCCCCCAAAATGGCATTAAAGTTTAGAATCTTCCACTTGTTTAGCACACTATGTTATGCAGACTGAACTACATATTACTGCACTACTACCTATTTGTTTAGACTAATGTGTAAATTCTGTAGCTTTGAAATATAGTAATTTGACCCCATTATACGACAATTACCATATTACAACTTTACAAAAATAATCAACTCATGAGAAAACATGTATTTGTTTGCGTCTGTAAATTTTGTAAAAATCAATCTGTAGGTTGTAACACTCTGGGCCATGTGACCTGATTATAAAATACACTTGATTGACTGAATCATATCTGCAGTAAGTCAACATCCTAGATTTGATACAATAAAGTTTTGATCACAGTTTCAAAAGTATTTTAATGAGTCCTTTATGATGAATGACATATGTTATTATTACTGAACATGACTATTGTCACTAATGTAGCCCTCCTTAAGAAAATTTGGCTGAAAAGGTGACATTTTGATAAAAACATATTTGGTAACATGATTTTATTTCCCTTCTCGGTATGGCGACCCTTGAAATCTGGTGGTAAGTGTCATGATATAATATTATTGTTAACATGGTCATATAACATGAGCACCGCATGTCATGAAGTGTCGACGTCACTTGTGATTTACGTCACTTCCGTGGGGTAGAGAACGCGCCACATTGAACGCCTGTACAGTGTCATGGACATAAAAAGACATTGTTACAAGCCAGTGTCGTCCTGAATCTTGACCCACACAGAAAGTACCAGGATTTCCAGATAAAACATTCTTGGAAATGGGAATTAGTTAATGTAAACTAACATTCACTACTCTATAGGGCCCGTAAGTCTCGCGAAGCGCTACTTCCGGTGCCAGCATTTCCGGTGACATGCCTATACTCGTGAACTAGTTCTGCTTTCGAAATGCGCGACCGCAAAAGCTAACTCTGTAGACGGTACCAAGTAAACTACCACGCTTGGTTGTCACCGCTGTTGACAGTCGTAAAAGTTTACTTATTTCAGAATAATATGATCGGTTATTTGTCATTGCTGTTAGGTTTATCGGTTCCTGACTGACATCTGACAACCATGGGACCGTTCGTAAAGGTATGTGTTCTTTCCTTTACCTTTAAAATAATTTTGACAACCAGTGTGGTACTATCGTTCAGACTTGTATTTATAGTCTCAGCGGACAGTGTTTTATGATTACTGAGGATGTGTTACATGTTTCTGTGATGTAATATTATTTATGAAGATGTAACTACTAATAGGTAGGCCACTTTACCCAACTTACAACAGTATTCTGATATCTGACAGCATGAGCAGTGTCAAGGAAGCCGTGCCTTGACAGTTTGAATAGGCATTAAATTAGGCAAGATTTGGAGGATGAAATTTGGAAAATCTATGCTATGAATATATTTGTAAACGTGAAATTTATTTTAGTATATTGTATTAATTTATTTTGTTATTAATAATAGTACTCAATAACCCAGTCATGTGTTTGGAACTTAAAATTTAATATGCACTATATTTGGTCATATTAATATAGTAAATAATTTTCCATTAAGAAATTTGTTACTTTTGAGAAGAAACTTATTTTTAAATATTTTTTTATGAAGGAGACAAGAGGGTTTTTATGCAATGTAGAAAGCCTGTGCATAAATTAGTTTGTATATTAAATGTGAATAGATATAATAATGCAGATGTACTACTTGCTCTTTGGTAGTTTGCACTATAAGTTAACTCTCATCTACATGTACTGGATGACTGTATGGAAGTGCGGATGTCAGAAATTAACAAGAAAGACTCAAAAGACCCCCAAAAAGAAAAGAAAAGAAAAGATAATAATTAAAAAAATGTGGTTTTTTTAAATAATTAAAAGTTGAGAGAAAATGAATGATCTCCTCTACTTTGGATGAATGACAGTCATTACTGCATGCCAAATAGATTTTCTTAGCCCTGCCTGTAAATATATTGATCCCAAAAATTATTATCCAAATTAAATTAAATAAAGTTCTTCTCATCAACATGCACCAAAAAAGAATGTATGGGAAAATAAACATAAAAACTAATAGTGTCACAAATCACTCAACAGTTAATCAAATAACCATGAAGGCAAGTCAATACATTATATTGATTACTATAATCTAGTATTTGAAATAAATATATCAAACCCTAACCTGTAAAACACACATGCCCCTTAATTTTGAATTACATTTGAATATGCATTATCATGGTTATAATAAAAGTATGTAAGTCAAATTGTTTTATTTTACTCACATATTTCAATGAAAGACCTCTTAGTCTCAGATGGTTTCAGGTTTGTGCAACAAGTACAAGTAAATACTGTTAGTATTCCATATGAATATTCATAGTGATATACCTATTTTTAAAATTGTGTAAACATTATTTGTTAAGTCCGGTGATGAATAGAACTGGTGTTGGACAATGGTAATTTTACACTGTGTATGTACTTGATGTCTAGCTCTATGTTGTTGCAGAACATGAATGGGTTTTTTCTTGGTCATACAGGAGTGAATTTCTGCTGTACAGCAACCAAAAGATGAAGCAGCATCCAGCACACAGCAACTTCAAGTCAGAAGTGGCCAAAATGCAAGACAAATACACTGAATTATGGAGGCGATCACCAATGACATGTCCTACATTAAGAAAGATACTTACTCATATATGAAGTGTAATGTTATTCTGAGGGAAGAAATAAAAGTGTTACACCTTGTCAGCAATATAATTGTTTTGACACTGCAGACTTTGATTGATAGCAGGGGCAAGATTAAAAGATTAATTGTGATGAACGGTAGGGTTTTTTAAATTAATATTTCTGGTTGTGAGGCTCAATTGAACCAAGTAAAAAAATTGCTACAAGTCCAAAACATTAATTCATTCACCTTATCACTCAATCAACACTGTGGAACACAAATTTAGTGCAACCATATTGACTTGATGCAGAGATAGAAACAATTGCACCTATTTTTCATATATTTGTGTATTTCAAATATTCTGCCAAAAAATCCAAGTCAAACAAATGAGGTAACTGACATTTCACATTTTCCGCTATCCATTTGGACCAATCTGTTTTAAGATCTGGTCAAGAAATGTCAATGTTTATTGGCTATTGTTCTATGAATCAGTGTAATTTGTATGCTGGACCCTAAAACAGCGATGCAAAAAACAAGACATGTTGATATTTCAACGAAGAATTAATTTCACAAAGCAACAACTGCTATGCCATTGGTTAAGTTAAATTTTCATTGGTAAGCATCTGTTGTATTCTTTTGGAAACTTTTGACCCATAAACTGGAAATCTATTATCACACATTCCATGTGCATTGTTATGATATTATATTCAATACCAATTCAGTATCATGGCTGATACCAGAAATATGGCGAAACCGCATTATCAGTGGTTCATATCAAGCTCCTCACAGCGATAGTACGTTCCCGGAGCTCTCTATACTACCGAGAGTGTAACGAAGGTGTCACGCGCTGGGAAGGAGCTTGTGGTTCATATTGGGAAAGGGAGGTCACTCTAATTTCAAACGGGAGCTATCTCCGTTGTTTTCGTATTTGCGAGAAATGGCGTCACCCACGCTGCACGTTGTTGGTCCAGCTATTAAATGCCCAGCTTATTAAAACGTAAGGTAATTAAATGTTTGAATGCATTATATATTTATGTTTCCATCAGTACATCTTCTAAGATTGGTTTAGTGGTGATAACCATTTTCCAAAATGTGGGCCCACATTTTTCCCGTCATCTATGGTGATCGAAACAAGTGGGCCCACATTTGTATTTCGCCTAGCTTCGTGAGGTTGTTTCGTTAGTTCTGATAATCAATCCCTAAATGTTGGCAGACGTTCTTCCGTCATATTGATTGCAACAGGAGGGACCACATTTATTAATCGCGAAATTCTACTTAAATATTGATAATCATTTTCTCAAATGTGGGCCCACATTGTTCCCGTCATATATGGTGATCGAAACAAGTGGGCCCACATTTGTATATCGCCTAGTGGGTAGACGTTCTTCCGTCATAGTGATTGCAAAAGGAGGGACCACATTAAAAAAATCGCTAGCTTCATTAGCTTTGCTTACTTATAACCATTTTCTAAAATGTGGGCCCACATTGTTCCCGTCTTATAGTGATCGAAACAGGTGGGCCCACATTTTTAAATCGCTGGGTTTCTTAAGGTTGACGAAGTCATTTAGGCTATTGGGCTCACGTTTGTCATTATGTGACATTTTATATTATTCATATTTTGTAATATTGATGGGAAATATCTTTATAAATCATTTCGTGTGACATTAATTCCATAAAAGGCACAAAAGTCTTTGAAGTTTGAATAACTGCGTCATAGCTGACCACACTAGTTTTACAAAAATAGCTACCAAGCAAGAAACATAAATCTACTTCAAATTAAAATTACAGAGGCAATACCACTCATTCTACCTTTTCCAGTATAACACATCAATCTAATCATAAGTATTGGTGGCGATATAAGCCTGAACATATGTCTACACTTGAATTGATCTCGGACATGATACAAGCCTCAGACGTTTCCGAGAACTTGTTCCATAAAAGGAATAACTCATGAATATTAATAACCCCACGACCTAGTTTGGCGATGTTCGTAGAAGTGAGTTCTGCTGTATTGCCATCTTATTTGTACATTTTAATCCAATTATATTTTAAAAAGACAAATTATGAGTTCGTTATGCGGGTTTGTTTACGTAGTATATATTCTCAACAACAAGTGCGTTTAGTTTCGAATGTGGGCCCACCTCGAACATTCGATTAGGCAAACGGAGTTAGCTCCCTTCTCGAACCACCGATAATGCGGTTTCGCCAGAAATATTAAAAAACCTTTTTTTGTATGGCATTATCCCAGACAAAAAACAATAAATAAGCTTCAGATCTATTCAGTAATTTTATTCCAAGGTCATGAGTATTAAACATTCATGGCAAATATTCCAAAATGCCAAGCCTGAACAAATAAATGTGCCAGCATGCACTGTTACTGGTGTCAGTATCTAGATTCACACTGGACTTTATGAGAGAGTCCCAAGATGTTCTGCAACACCATGTTGATGACAAGTAGGTCCTGTTCCAGCAAGTGTCCAGTGTATATGGTGTATTCTGATGGTCACAGACATCATTTACAGAACCAGTACTTCAGATAGAACTTTAATATGTTTACACCTGTATACACAACAAGAGTTGTTCTTTCATAGGCAATGCAATGCTTGACCACAAAATATTCCAAGAAATATGTTATAGTCCGAGATGCTCTTGAGGTGCAGTTATGTTTGGCATCAAGGTAATTCTGGTGATCCATATGCATCTACTCGTGAGTCAGATGAGGAAATCTTTCTCCCCTCAAACATGGAAATATGGCCCAACTGCAAAAGATAAATAACACTTATGAGATCATATAATATATACTTCTAAAATACCAACCATTTCTTACAATGCCCACATCAAGATATAATTAATAAATTAAGCATGTACATAGTACCTTCAACTGAATATGATAAACAAATGCTAAATGGGGTTGTAATGATCAAGTCTATTCACATCATACAGAATACATTTAAGTGAGGTCACTTTTCAGAGATCTTAAAAACAAACAACGCAAGGATTTCATCATCATTATTTACAAATTAGATTAATATTTTTTTTATATGAATAAAACCTGATTTTACAGTGCACATAACATTATCATCGTGATGTTGGCACATATCCTTATTTATTAACACAGGCACCCCCATAAGTCTCCTTGCACAACATTAAGTATTGACAAAATTTGCATTGCCAACATGCACATGATAGGTCTTCTTAAAATATGACTATAGTTTGTGTAATCTCCCCTGGACATGCTGGACCTACACATATAATTCTGTGACGTTCCTTATCAGAGCTGAACATTTATTATTGGAAAAGGCTCAGGATAGATGTAATGGAAATTTGCTATAACATTGTATGGTGCACAAACCGAGAGCATATTGCAAATACCTTCAGAACGAATGTTTTATGCTCATTTTTCAACGCCATCACCATTGTACGTGTGATGATGAACCAAGAACCGATCAGTATTGCCTTATCAACACTGACAATTAAACTTATCAGAAGTGTGCAAAAGTTACCTCAATATTTATGAATGGGTAGCGGCCAGTTTGACATCGACCATAGGACGTCTTGACAACACTGCAACTGCTTTGACAAGCCAACACTTGCTATTCATGTTCCCCATCTCGAGTGTTTTAATGACTGTGACAGTGTCATGTTTTTCTAAGTTACACCTGCGTGTTCCAAATATGATTCGCCGGGCCCTGTCCGACGTGACACTGCTGTCGCCATTGCCGCGAGACGACGTTTGTCACCGGATGTAATAAATAACGTTAGGTCTCGCGTTGTCCCGTGACCTACTTACACCCCCTATAACGTGTCAGACATGCCGTCAGGAATGCTATGACGTCAACCTGGATTACAATGACATCATGCAATGGATGACATCATACTTCCTTGTTAGCAGAGTGTGATGAAAACGTTGCTCTGATAAGTTTTGATCAAACTTCATATTTATTTAACGTAATATCCATTTTGAAAAGCCTAATGGCACATTATTTAAATTTGTGTTTGAGAAAAATAAAAATTCTTATCAAGAAACGCATTCATACATCGAGAAAGTTCGAAAGATTCCCGTGATCCAAACCCTTTCAACATTGTTTTTGTTACCAATCAGATTGCAGCGCCCACTCCAGTTGATTTTAATATTTGATATACAAGGTGATTTATGAATTATTTGGGAAAGGGTTCATTTAGGGATGATATGTTCGTAATATCAATCCACTCCTTACATGTATCTTCTGAAAAAGGCGAATAAACAGGGCCAAACAGTATAATTATTGTAATATCTTTGTGACAAACCAAAAGACGTTAAAAGATGGTACTTGTTGTTACCGTGTCTTGCGCTCGGCATTAAGGGGCTAAAACAAGGACTGGTCGGCTCGGAGTCAGTATACTGTGTCTGAGTGGGGTATTCATGTTAAAATGCGGCATGGTATCTCAGTGTGCTAGCACTATAAATCGACATCAGTCCGGACTAGTACAAGCAGCCACACACACACACACACACACACACACACACACACTCACTCACTCACACACACACACACACAAACACAAACGTGCATGCATGTCGCTATATAAGTGCAACAATCCTGGACGCGACGTTAAACCCAATTTCACCTCACCTCATCTTTGTGACAATTTGATTTTATCTTGTTTTGTTTGTTGTTTAACCCGCTTGATGCCGAAGTTATGTTTGTCCCTCTGGCATCCAGGTGTTAACGCCGTGATAAATGTGTTGTTTGTTTGTTGTTTAATGCCGCACTCAGCAATATTCCAGCTATATGACGGCGGTCTGTAAATAATCGAGTCTGGACCAGACAATCCAGTAACTGACATCATGAGCAATACGATGACATGCATCAACCTAACAGTGTGCCTGGACACCCAATCCCGTTAGTCGTTTCTTACCGCACGCACAATCGCCTGTTGCGACAAAATACTCCCTACTTTCCCTTTCCATTAGCATGAATCATGATTGAATGTCATCCTTGCCAACTGGCGCAGTGCGGCCTCCTCTGCCAGTTATCACAAATACACAAAACACTGACATCGACTGTGTTGTGGATGTCCTCTGTTTATACTGGTGGTAATTTAGCAGTGTTGATCTTCTGAATCCATTAACATCTTTCATTGTTGACACAGCTCTCTATCATGCATTTCATTGCATTAACATTCACTCACACGACCTTGCGGCACTACTTTGTCATTTATAAAACTCTTTAAACATTCACAAATACAAATACATGTGAACGTAGGCATTTAGATTAAGTGCAGCAACCAGATGCTTAGTATAACTAGTACCGCACTCAGAGAGAAACTTGAACTTGTCAGAAACAGCTGTGTTGCAACACACCCAGGATGCTGGTCTATGTAATGTTGGTTATTTCCATGGTACCGTTTGTTGTGCCACAGAACACAACGAGCAGGTTAAAACACCAGATGTTTCGAGACTCCCTCCTTCGTGGATACCCAAAAGACATGCCGCCATTACCCTCAGAAGATCCATACTTGGTCAGTGTGAACTTTTCCTTCTTTCTACATTATGTCCAGGGCCTTGACGTCGCTAGTCAAGTCCTCACTGTCTTTGGTACGCTGATTTTCAGATGGTATGACCCACTTCTTGTTTGGAACAGTTCATCACATGAGAATCCTACTTATCTCCAATTACAGTCAAGTGAAATATGGACGCCGCGATTACTGTTTTCCAACAATGCTGGCTCTCCACTAGAAACAAGGAATGCCTACATATTTGCCCTTGGAGATGGTTATGTTACCATGTCAATCACTGACCTGTTCCACACTCAATGTTTCATCGATGTCACACGTTATCCATTCGACCAGCAGCAGTGTAACATCATCCTTATTGCATTAGGTCATTACAGTTTCCAGGCCTTCAATGTTGACTCCAACCCTTTTACTACCACCTTGGGTAAGAGCGTCGAGTGGAAGGTAGATAACGTTTCCTCGGCTGTAGAAAAACAGGTAAATTTTCATAGCATTAAAGAAGTTGCGAGAATTATTTTTAGACTGTCACGTGAGTACACGTTTTATCTTCTGACTGTCATCACACCCGTGTCTCTGTTGTCCCTGATGAACGCCTGTGCCTTCCTTCTGCCTGCCGAGTCGGGAGAGAAGATATCATACCTCATCTCAATCCTCGTCACGTATGCTGTGTTCCTTAATTTTACCATTGAAGTGTTGCCAAAGTCGGGAATTCCGTCTCGCCTCGCCATTTATCTGATTCTGGTGTTCTGCCAAAGCTGTGCCGCCATCTTGTCAACACTCTGCCTCCTCAACATGTATCATGAAGCAGACGAGAAGAATCTGTCCATCACTGGGGCGACACCTGTTGGGACAACGTCTACAAGGGATGGTGGATCTGGTCTCGAAATGCAGGGCTCAAAGGGCTCAAAGGGCTCCAAGGTGTCCCCGACTGAATCGGACGACAACATGACCAAAGTCCCGAAGCTAAGAGGGAAGAAATGGATCAAATCACTTGACAGAAAACTCTTCATGGTGTTCCTTGCAATTGCTCTGCTGTCCGTCATTATTCTGTTCGTGTAATCTTTATTGTGACATTTCACTTCAAGAAAACTTTGACTGTTATGATAGATATCACTCGCCCTATACTATAAAGGAAAGGCAAATAGTTCTCACGAGTGGTTGAAATTGCTATTGTCTGTAATACCACGTTAATGTTCTCGTTGCGGGCACCAGTGGCAGAATCATCTAGGGCATGATTGGAACCGCCTAAAATCATGGTTTCGAATCCAAGATCCGCCCTAATTATGTTTCAAGGTTTGTTAGCGCCATTCCCGTGCTCGTGAGTGTCATCAGTGGAAAACTCCTATAGCTTAGAGCTCCATCACCTTGGTCTCCCCTATCACGTGAAACTGACACGCCGTGTTAAAACATTTTCTGAAATATCATAAACATGATACAAGAGGCGTTAATCCAAAGTCACTCACTCACTCTGTCACTAGCCACTCGATGTTGGTCAGCATGTTTTCAGTAGTTCATGTATGAAAAGTTTAAATGCCCCCTTTTCCTGTCACGTGTGTGCGTATTTATTCTTAGCATAAAATGTGAAACCTAGAGAATATCCAGTCTCGATTAACCGCCGAGACAGATTGGATTGGGCGTAAAGGCATACTAGTGCTGAACAATATATGGATGGAACACTAAAAAGCAGTGATGACAGTTGGGGTTTGTGAAAAGGGTAAGCATGTCTTGTCCTACCAGTAGCACCCGCCTCTCACACAATTGGTATAAAAAAGTAAGCCTTGATTGACGCTGCACAGCAGTACTCCTGACATGCGACGGCGGCCTGAAAACAAGCCAGACAATCAAGAGGTGGACCACAAAATCCAGTGACATGACAGCGCGTTTACTGAAAGCGATATGTAATTTTTTTTATATTTCTGCTGTGTACAAGAGAAAAATTATATGTTTGTTGTGACGACAATATGGGGTAGTTTTAGCGTTTCAATTTAACACCGAAACATTTCCTTTGTAGTTGACTCAGCATTATTTAGCTTAACTCGAGGACTCCATCAACAGAAATATCGACTCAGTTCAAGTAAATTCATAAAGCCACGCGAGAAACCAGCATGAATTTACAGGAACCCAGTTTACAAACATACAGATTTCACTTGGTGGGATCATTAAGACACGAACACAAGTACTGGGTAGTTATTATTGTGAGTGTTCTTGAACAGATTTGTCTTGTGCCATATGTTCCAATGTTTTTCAGGTAAACAATTGACTTGCCTTTGCATGTGTTTGTGACAGATGCTACCGATGTGGCAGGATACGCTCACCTTTTCGCGGACACCTGGTACCATCACTATTCGCTAGAGATTCATAAACACATGCTCATGATACAATCGGAATCGTACAATCGACTCTGCTGGTGGCGGAAATTTCTCGTGAATATGGAATGGGTTTTATGGCTTTTAATTTTAAATGATTTACAATGTATTTAATATATACTCAGCGCCAAAAGAAAGGCGAATGTCATACATGTTGGTTAACGTACATATTTCCCTATATGTTCTATGGTTCACGTTTCTTTTGGTGGAGAGTATATGTAATAACTACTGATCAATACTATTCTGTAGTCATTGAGTTCATAAAAGGGATAGACTAACATTTAGTCTCGGAAATCTTATATTACACAATATCCTTCTTGACTCTAAAAATAAAAATAAAATTCCCTATGCTGATTTCAGAATAGAATGGAGCTAGCTTGAGCTGGCTTGACTTGCTTTTGTATGCATTTCTAGATATATTCTTTTCATAAAATAAATATATTTCATGGTCATGGTGCAGGACTATAAAAGGGAGTGAAACACGTTGGAGCTGGGTTTTTTAGCGAGTACATCAGTGAAGACGTCTGTCTGTGGCACTTTGTTAAGATACGTTTTTCGTGTGTTACCAATAACATTAGTAATATGATTATGTGAATTGTGTTTGGGGGCAGGACATGCTTACCTTTCACGATCACCTGGTGTCATCACTAATTCATTAATTCATATAATTCCCACCGGTATCATGCCTTTTAACGTTGGATAATCGAGACTGGTTATTCTCTGGCATTGACGTGTTTTACATATAACATTTGTGTGCCCATTGCAGGATAATGGATGTATGTGTTTGTCTCTTTATTTCAAATGCTAAATACAAATGCACTGAACGCTTTGATTGATTTTTTAATAAAATTACAAATAGTCGCACCTGATCTTCTGTATGCGTCCTCCTTTTCTAAGGACCCAGGAATCTATGTTTGTCGTAAGAGGAGGCTTTGTGGATGTGGTGGTCAATTTGTTTGTTTGTTTAACGCCGCAATATTCCAGCAACATGACGGCAGTCTGTAAATAATCGAGTCTGGACCAGACAATCCAGTGATGAGCATCGATCCATGCAATTGGGATCGATGACATGCATCAACCAACCAGCGAGCCTGACCACCCGATCCTGTTAGTCGCCTCGCGCGACAAGCACAGTCGCCTTTTATGGCAAGCATGGGTTGCTGAAGACCAATTCTACCCGGGATCTTCACGGGTACAATGTGAGTGATAAAACGAAGCTAAGATGTCATATAAATGCATGGTATAAATTGTCAGCTTCTATGACAAAACAAATGTTGTATTTATTTATTTACATGACACATGTTCATTGAAAGGCATAATGAGATTGAATGAAAGGTTGCTATATACAATATTAAGCTGTACATTCACATGATAAATATAAACAAGCACCACGACACTGCCCCTCACCAGGCACATGTACAGTGAGATGAAATCATTAGAACTGAAGTAAGGAAAGTCGAGCTTAATTTGTTGTTTAATTATGTCTGTGTAATGTGCGAGGACATAACAATCTGAATGCAATGTTTTTGTTACTTTAAAGAACACCATTATGGTAAAAATCATGCATGTAAAGTATTTTATTGAGACAAACAACTTGTTTATAAATCTAACGCTCATGACGTGACCTGAACCGCATTGTAGAATTACATGTTCCACAGAAAGGTTTTAAGCTTTGGGGAAAAAGTCAAAAATTAATTGATAGGTCAACCGAAAGTCGACTGACAACTCGCAATGTCAGAAGCTGACTTACTCCTGAAGTCCTGGTGAGCTGACAATGTTGGTTACTAATACAAAATATTGCAAAAACGATAAATTCTCTTTTCCGTTTGTAGCCAATCTGTGTAGCCTTCCAAAGATAATTTTGCGAACATGATGATTATTTATTTTCAAATAACCTCTTTAAGATTTCCATATACGGATCCATGCTAACATCATATCTTCAAAATGATTTCACTCAACTGCGTAAAGCCACCTCAAGCCCAAGGTTATTGCCTTCATTGCCCCCCCCCCCCCCCCCCCCCCCCCCCCCCCCAAAAAAAACCCAACTCCACTCCGCTAAGAGGAAACGGATGGCCCAGTCGTCTAAGGTGCCGCAATTCACTTTGCAGATTTATGTTTCTTGAGCACGCCAGAAACCTATGATTGTTGGTTCAAATCCCGGTTCGCCCCGATTATGTTTCTAGGTTTGTCAGCACCATACCCGTGCTCGTGGGTTTCACCGAAGTGGTAAACGTCTGAGACCTGCATTACTTCGGGCGTTCCCCCACATTAGGCTGACACGCCGCGATATAACTGTAATACTGTTACAAGCGGCGTTATTTACTCCAATCCTCTACTGCAATCTTGCCACACATAGCTGTTCATCAACATGTCTTCTCTGCTGTGTTCTGCCGTCCTCTGCCCACAGTCGCACCTCACATGACATCCCAGACAGTACCTCAAAGTCCGTACTTTGTATGTTTTCCCCCCACAAGGCTTCCTCCCTTCATCCGCTACGTCTTAATCTTCTCTGCTGTCTTCCGCCACATGACCTTGCCCTTCCGCTGCCGCCCCCCTACTGCCTCCCGGACCAGTTGCTGTAGCTTGTGACTGAACTTTTCCTTACTCTGCCCTTGTTTGGCCGCCAGGGACCACTTGCCCATAGTTTGCATCTGGCGCATGTTCTTCTTCTGGCTCTTCCGAAGCTCACTATAAATGACACCTTTGGTTAAATTTAGCAGTGCCATTTCACACAAGCTACATGTTCTCGGAGATTCAAAGCTGACTATGTTGTCATTTGTTTCATTCCTGCTTCAATGATCACTACTAGACCGTGGTTCTGGTATAAAACCTTCATTGTCTAGGCCACCTCACACACGCCACATAACTCACCCCACACTCCACACCCCACTCTCTCTCACCCTCCTCCACCTCCATCCATCAACCCCCAACCAACATCTGCCTTGCCTTTACGATTCATGGTAGGTTTTGTCCATGACAATACCCCCCAATCCGCTCTGTACTGCCCGACACACAATATGCCAATCTCCTTGTGGTCTGTGTCCAGTCTCTTCGCTCACATTCACAACACACGTACTCGCTCCTCCTTATTAATACCAACCCTGTCCCTCTTCCTGGCCCACTCTTATGTCTTGAGCCTGGATGTCGAAAGTGTCCAGATCTGCATCTCCATACTCTATGTCCGGCTCCCAGTTGTTGTCTGTCCAGTCTCTACCTTCACATGCACCACCCACCCTATCCCTCCACCCTCTTCCTTTCAGATCTGCCCATCCTAACTCTCAGTTGTCTGTCCAGTCTCCCCACTCACATGCACCACCCACCCTATCCCTCCACCCTCTTCCTTTCAGATCTGCCCATCCTAACTCTCAGTTGTCTGTCCAGTCTCCCCACTCACATGCACCACCCACCCTATCCCTCCACCCTCTTCCTTTCAGATCTGCCCATCCTAACTCTCAGTTGTCTGTCCAGTCTCCCCACTCACATGCACCACCCACCCTATCCTTCCACCCTCTTCCTTTCAGATCTGCCCATCCTAACTCTCAGTTGTCTGTCCAGTCTCCCCACTCACATGCACCACCCACCCTATCCCTCCACCCTCTTCCTTTCAGATCTGCCCATCCTAACTCTCAGTTGTCTGTCCAGTCTCCCCACTCACATGCACCACCCACCCTATCCTTCCACCCTCTTCCTTTCAGATCTGCCCATCCTAACTCTCAGTTGTCTGTCCAGTCTCCCCACTCACATGCACCACCCACCCTATCCTTCCACCCTCTTCCTTTCAGATCTGCCCATCCTAACTCTCAGTTGTCTGTCCAGTCTCCCCACTCACATGCACCACCCACCCTATCCCTCCACCCTCTTCCTTTCAGATCTGCCCATCCTAACTCTCAGTTGTCTGTCCAGTCTCCCCACTCACATGCACCACCCACCCTATCCCTCCACCCTCTTCCTTTCAGATCTGCCCATCCTAACTCTCAGTTGTCTGTCCAGTCTCCCCACTCACATGCACCACCCACCCTATCCCTCCACCCTCTTCCTTTCAGATCTGCCCATCCTAACTCTCAGTTGTCTGTCCAGTCTCCCCACTCACATGCACCACCCACCCTATCCCTCCACCCTCTTCCTTTCAGATCTGCCCATCCTAACTCTCAGTTGTCTGTCCAGTCTCCCCACTCACATGCACCACCCACCCTATCCCTCCACCCTCTTCCTTTCAGATCTGCCCATCCTAACTCTCAGTTGTCTGTCCAGTCTCCCCACTCACATGCACCACCCACCCTATCCCTCCACCCTCTTCCTTTCAGATCTGCCCATCCTAACTCTCAGTTGTCTGTCCAGTCTCCCCACTCACATGCACCACCCACCCTATCCCTCCACCCTCTTCCTTTCAGATCTGCCCATCCTAACTCTCAGTTGTCTGTCAAGTCTCTTCCTCACATGCACCACCCACCCTATCCCTCCACCCTCTTCCTTTCAGATCTGCCCATCCTAACTCTCAGTTGTCTGTCCAGTCTCCCCACTCACATGCACCACCCACCCTATCCTTCCACCCTCTTCCTTTCAGATCTGCCCATCCTAACTCTCAGTTGTCTGTCCAGTCTCCCCACTCACATGCACCACCCACCCTATCCCTCCACCCTCTTCCTTTCAGATCTGCCCATCCTAACTCTCAGTTGTCTGTCCAGTCTCCCCACTCACATGCACCACCCACCCTATCCCTCCACCCTCTTCCTTTCAGATCTGCCCATCCTAACTCTCAGTTGTCTGTCCAGTCTCCCCACTCACATGCACCACCCACCCTATCCCTCCACCCTCTTCCTTTCAGATCTGCCCATCCTAACTCTCAGTTGTCTGTCCAGTCTCCCCACTCACATGCACCACCCACCCTATCCCTCCACCCTCTTCCTTTCAGATCTGCCCATCCTAACTCTCAGTTGTCTGTCAAGTCTCTTCCTCACATGCACCACCCACCCTATCCCTCCACCCTCTTCCTTTCAGATCTGCCCATCCTAACTCTCAGTTGTCTGTCCAGTCTCCCCACTCACATGCACCACCCACCCTATCCCTCCACCCTCTTCCTTTCAGATCTGCCCATCCTAACTCTCAGTTGTCTGTCCAGTCTCCCCACTCACATGCACCACCCACCCTATCCCTCCACCTTTCAGATCTGCCCATCCTAACTCTCAGTTGTCTGTCCAGTCTCCCCCCTCACATGCACCACCCACTCTATCACTCCACCCTCTTCCTTTCAGATCTGCCCCTTCATACTCACTCTATGTCTATTTCTTGGTTGTCATCTGTGTCCAGTCTCTCCATCAAGTCATCCAAACCTCCTTCTGTCAAGGGGATGCTCAATGTCTGAGACACAAACAATATAATCACCATTCTTACATTTATTAGACACGTGACAAACAATGACATATATTATTTGTTTGTTTGTTGTTTAACGCCGCACTCAGCAACATTCCAGCTATATGACGACTTTCTGTAAATAATCGTGTCTGGACCAGACAATCCAGTGATTGACATCATGAGCATATGATGACATGCATCAAGCAAGTCAGCAATCCTGACCACCCAATCCCGTTAGTCGCCTCTTACAGTAAGCACTGGCTGCTAGTGAAGATCTATTCTACCCCGGATCTTCACGGGCCCTCTTAACAGTGTATAAACCTCATCACAGGCATATATTTTTTTTATATATGAACATTGAATTTAACAGATTTTACCATGAGATAATACTTGTGAAATTGATGCTTTATAATGTAATGCTTAATAAAGTTGTTGAAGATCAATTCTAACGTGGATGCCATTGGTCTGACATATTACTAAAATGCAATAGAAGCTATTGTTTTCCTGTTTGTGACAATATTTTCTTCCAGGTGAACATCCGTCTTTGTTAGGTTCAAATCAATGAAATACGAATACTTTCTGCACTCTAGATTTTTTAAACTGAGCAATAAGTGTAATACGTATGTTTTCGACTTTTAACAACATCAAATAGACATGAAACGACCACCCTCAATAACATGACACTAAATGTGCCCCCCCTTGACGTACCACGAAGACATGCTTCAGTTCCTCTCTGCTGATGGTGTTACTGTTGTCTGTATCAAGGCACCGGAAGAAGTCTATCAACCGGAAGTTTTCCTGACGCATGTATTCGAACAGGACCACGACAGGGTCATAGTCCTGCAGAGTTGGCAGCTTCTCAATATTGCCCACCTGGTACTTGTGGAAGTTCTCGGAGTGCCGAACGCTGATGTCACGACTTGCCTGCACCTCCTCCAGTACTTTACTGAACTCGCAGTCCACCGGGACACCCTGCAACCACGAGGATGCTCATAGATCTGTGTTAGTGTACTTGTTAGCGATGGGGCGTTAATCTATTTACACCACGTGAGCTACAAACATGATGCACATCACACACTAACGCAAGCCCCTGAGTCTCATCTTAATCGAATCATTCATTCTTGACACGTACAGGGAAGTTACAAAGGATATCCTGCTGAAACACACTGGTGTAAATGCTGGTGACAAACTCTCTGCCAAGGAATAGGTCAATATGCTTCACTCTCATCCAGCTCAGCAGAAGTTGACACATCAGTCTTTCCCGGTGAAATCTTTCACCAAAGTGCAGGTAATGGTATCACACTGAAAATGAATTGTGGTATGTGTGGTTCCTGGAGCTTTCTGGAAATGGCGGTGAAGGGGATGCTTCGATCCGTTTTTGCAACTACACCCTAACACTTTTGTAAAGAAGTGAGTTAAATGTGATTTTTGGCTGTTCAATATAATTCTGTTTCATGTATAACATCTTTTGCTGATAGTACTGGTCATATTTGTTCAAGATGATTATAACTGTCAACGGTGCCTTGTTGTCATTTGTTGCTGTCAGTTGTTGCTGTCATTGCTTTTCTTCAGAACAGATAAATACCAAAGTGTTTTTGAAAAATGTGTTACTTACTCACGTTATCTAGACCAGTCAAAGATCAGTTTAGAGAGAAGGACCTTCCCCTCACATTCTCTCTCCAACTCAGTCAAGCCACCCAGTCCATCCTTAATTCAATCATTCACGGGGTCGCCTCATTTTCAGCAAATATGTGGCGGTTGGAAGTGTCATGTGTGGAATTGAGAATTGTCTCTTTGAAAGTGGGTAATAATTAACTATTAGAGTTAACAGTCAATGAAAGAGCTGTTTGAACGACTGTTACTCGGACTGTCCATCTGCCCAAGCATAGTGACGCGTTAGGATGAAATATAAATTACTGACGGTGATGTCTAGACTTGTAATGCGACAGGATGGTGTAGCGTGAATGGCTCTCAAGACCGCTATAGCACCCTCCGTTGTCACCGGATTCTTGCCAAGCTAGAAGGATAAATAACAAAACACATTATCAAATCAAACATCAGATAATAGAATATAACATGTGTATAACCTAGGTTTCAAGCATAGAGAGGACACACCATGTGTGTGTAACTCGCGTATTGAACATGTAATTATACCGTGAACAGCCTAACATGGGGGCCGACCATTATTTATACCCCACTGCGAAGAGGGGCGGGAATATATGAACGGATTCCGTCCGTCCACTTCTAAAAGACGACAAATGTTTTTTAAAAACTATCTAAGTCAGAGAAATTTATTTTTTCACACTGATGTAACTAGTCATCATCTCAAAAGAAAATTAAAAAATTGGTGTCGTAAATTCATCTTTACAGAGTTATGGCCCTTGCTCCACGCTTTTCAACTTTTCGGTGCACACTACGTGAAATGGTGACAAGTTTTCTCAGAAACTGCTGAAGTTACTTGAATGAAAGTTTGCATGCTTATCATAGAGATACATGTCAAGACTGAGTTCGAAAATTGGTGCTGTAAATTATGTTTTACAGAGTTACGGCCCTTGATCCATGTTATTTTAGCTTCGTGCATAAAGTGTGCAATGGGGGATAAGTTTTCACAGAAACTAGAGATACTTTTTTCAAGACTGAGTGATTTTTTTCCAGAGAAGGGGCCTTTTGTGTGTACGCCACTTAACCCGCCACCGAGCTTGACCAACCTTAGGGACAACAGAACAAAAGCATGTGAATCATAATCCCATGTGCAAGTTGCCGCACCTTAAGCGTTTGCAGTGACTCGTTGCTGGCAGCTCCATCCATAAGCAGTTTCAGACACTTGAGGTCAATTCTGTTACAAGAGAGGTCAAGGTCGCGCAGTGTCTGGTTGGCCTTGAGTGACGTCATCAGCGCCTCGCACCCATCTAAGCCCAGTCCGTTCCACGACAAGTCTAACACCTCCAAACAGTCGTTTTCCTTCAACAAAGAGCAATAATTCACAACCACAGCAAGTAATACATTAACTTTCTTTAATCATTCGGAGCGATGGGGCAGCCTAGTTGATAAAGGGTTCGCTCGTCACGCCAAAGACCCGGGTTCGATTCCCCACGTGTGAAGCCTATTCATGGTGTACCCAGCCGCTACATTGTTGAAATATTTCTAAAATCGGCGTAAAAGCACACTCAAAACTGCAAACTGATATTTGAAGAAAAAGGACATACAACTTGGAACATGTTGAGCACCATTCTATTATTTTCATGTGTCCCACTATTTAGTGCATCTTTGTAAATATCTACATTGAGCTCATTTTGATAAATGATGAGTAACAAAGCAGAAGCAACTTAAAGGTTGGTACGAGTGAGTGAGTGAGTATGATTTTACGCCACTTTAAGCAATATTCCAGCAATATCATGACGGGGACACCAGAAAGGGGCTTTACACGTTGTACCCATTGTGGGGAATCGAACCCGGGTCTTCGGCGTGACGAGTGAACGCTTTACCCAAAAGGCTACCCCACCGCCCCGCTGGTTGTGTGATGAGTTAAGAAGAAGAGGAAACAACTGAAAGGGTGGTCAAGTAACTATTGCAATCCCGATCCATTTAGTCACTTCGTACAAGTTGATAGGGACTTATTTATATTCGGAATCCCAACGTCTGAAACCAGTACCTGCAAATGTTGTTTGTAGAGGAACGGGGAGCCCCGGCGTCAAAGGGCGTCAGGGCGTACAATTCGCCCTGCAGAGTTGTGTCCCTTGGGCGTGCCAGGATCCTGTGATCGTGGGTTCAGGTCTCAGATTCTCCCTGATTATGATTATTGATTGTCATCACCGTGCCCGTGCTCGCAAGGCTCCCAACGTGATATCAGTTTGGACTTTTCTCATGTAGTGACTAAATACTGTTCAAAGCCACGATAAACCCGACTCGCTCAGTTCTAGTGGGGCGTCTAGTGGTTAAAGCGTTCACCACGTCGCGTCCTAGGCCCGTTTTCGATTCCCAACATGAGTACAATATGTGAAGCCCATTTCTGATGGCCCCCATCCAAACACACACACACACGGCGATGTTACTGGAATAGTGCGGAAAACGGCGTTAACCATTAGTTGGAAGTTTCACTGGGAGGGAAAGGTATATCATTTTTTATCTAGCCTTTCTTCAAATGACAACCTTGTGCTTCTACTCGACAGAGTAACATTGCAAACTCACCCAATCTCATTAAAGTCAGATCTTAGTTCTCGCTACTGCTAAAAAAGATCTGAGGACTTCCTTTTTAAGGGTCACGTCAGACCGACCTTGCGCAAACTTTGACCGACCAATGGAATGACCAATCAGAAGGCAGGTTACTCGTGCCTTACGGCACTAATTTTGAAATTGGCGACTACGCTTCGAAACATATTCTGACAAATTCTCGATTACAAATTTGATACCTAAACAAAAGAACATTCTGGAATGGCTAATAGATGGTCTAGATTATATGGATTCAGTCGTTAAACCCGTAAGTATCGTTCGGAATACCCCGTGTTAAAGTTTTCGAGGTTGCTTGATTAGAAATCACATTCCCACTGTCACTTTCATGATCTGGTAAGCGACGCCCTGATTGGTTGGATGAAAGGTCGTTCTGACGTGACCCCTAATGGGATGTCTTCAGATCTTTGTTTAGCGGTAGCGAGAACTAAGGTCTGATTATAATGAGATTGCCAACTCACCCCGATGGCCTGGCATATGTGTACGGCACCTCTTGTCCTCAGATGGTTCCAGCTCAGGTCCAAGACTTTTAGACGCATGTTCTGAGCTGCAAACACGATGTATTCTTTAGGCGTGGTGATGGTTTAAAGGCATTATGAGCAGGATATCTTTATTCGGTCGCTCCTTAACAATACTGATTGTCTGTCAGTGAAAGGGTGAGCAGACATGTTTAAACTTTTTGTCACAACTCATTTCTTTTCTAAATCTTACTAGAACTTTCTAAACGTTTAATGGTAGACATGTGGAGGACATTTCCAAATCTGACGCTTCAGTGACAAAAATTATGTCCGATGCATTTCCCTATTCTGACTTGTTTCATGCGTTCCCGTGTGTTTTTAGGTGTTCGCTTTGCATGTGTTTGTGACGGGAGGCACTAGCCGGGCAGGACACGCTCACCTTTTCGCGAACACCTGGTATCATCACTCTTTGATAGTGATTCATAAACCGTTTCTTATGAATGTGGGAAGGGTTTTGTCGCGTTTATTTTCAGGGAGCCCAGCGAGTAAGTTTATGGTTGAATAACCTGAGCACAAAATATTTTTGTCTGAACTTTTCAAATGGTTTGCAGTCATGTTTGCTTCTGGACATATTTCAACGTTAGACAATAATTCATTTATCAGACATCGTATCGATGTGTCCAGTTTATGAAAGGCGGTATCTCAGTTGCATGTTTATTGGACCGTGATCCCAACTGTATCGGATTGTTTCGCATCGATGACAAAACCCATTGCATGATGAAGTAAGAGATAATATGTAAAGGCTGCTTGAGGAGTATCTACGCTCATAGTATCTACATACATACGTTGTACATCGCTGTAGTGATGCAATGGTTGTCCCGCGGGGCTTGGCAACTTGTTGTTGCCAAACAAACACAACAAGCCTACTGGGTCAATCCAAGGTGTTGTTCTGAAGGTGTGTTTTTTTTAAAACCTCTCAGGCTTCGATAAGATACAGATTATTAGCTGAAAGTGTTAATGTATCGTAAATTTCCTATATTAGGTCTAAAAATTGTAATGTACGAACCTTTGGTAAACATGCACATTTTGTATTCCTAATATGATACTTAAGATTGAGGAATAAATAGAGGTTATCACGCGAGTGTGTTTGGGGATGGTAAATTTTCTGCATTAGGAATAAACATTGTATTTAGCGAGCCTTGGCGAGCTAAATACATAGTGTTTATTCCTAATACAGGATATTTACCATCCCCAAACACACAAGCGTGATAACCTCTTTATCATATAATGTCTTTCTTTAATTCTGTGCTTTAAAATCGCTTTCCCTCTCTCACAAACATTACCGAAACATTGCGAGTTTTCCTGGAATGCGCGCATTCATATTTATTACGTCACAGGGTAAGTGATGTGTCAGTCGGACAATGACAGTAGCCAATATAGTTCCAACTAAAATCTGTTTCTTATACAGTGGCGAAGCAACATATACGCAAAACAACAGTTGTTTTTAATTGCCTTTCGCGGCAATTCATCGGTCTGTCCGCTAGAGTAACTGCCCTTTGTCAAAGGGAAGCTACTCTAACCCTAGTCTATGAGACGCCACGGTCAGACGATGTTGACAGTCGGTCTGTCCTGTAACGTTTAGAAATGTAGTCAGATGTACACACAGCGACAAAACGAAACAAGGTAACAATTCAAACATATTTCGGCCAAATCCAACTATTTTAATTTGTGGAAAAGGTTTCAAGCCGCAGAGGTCTACAAGCACAGATATGGCTACTGATCCCGCTTGGCTAGGCCTCGGGTCGTGCCCTCGCAAAATTGTTTCGAAATCTCCAAAGTTGCCAAAACTTATAAAATGCCTTAGCTACGTCACAGTTAGACACTGAATTTCAGTATATTAGACTGTTTTGTTTTATAATGATAGCAATTATACCTGTAGTTTATTCAGATTCCCGATGGTTAATTCTGACTCGATCGCCGAATGACGAGGGCGACGCCATGTTTGTTTATAAACAGTGAAAGTAGTCCTACTTGACCTTTGATATTTGCATCTCTATCCGCATATGACCCCAACGGATATCGTTTTTACCCGTTGGCTTTATCCTGCCGAGAAACCTACCCATTATATGATAAACGTGGGTATCAATCTTTTATCATATATTGTCATTCCTATAATTAAGTTTTAGACATGTTTACCTTCACTTAAGAAGTTTTAATAGTCGGAATACAATGTCTGAGTGAATCGCCCGATTTTCATAATGTGCCAAAATATTTCCAACCACGTTTGTTTGCATATTAACACACACATCGAAAATCCCTTTTTTATTTAACAGAAGGCAATAATTCTCTTCGAGCAAATAGACAACGCGTTGGCATGAGGAGCTATTAAAATTAGTTCCTGCTACGTGGAATCATTTGCATTCTTTCGAGACAATATTCATCAATGAATAATGTAGATCCGAACATCAACACTGGCATTGTTACAGTATCGGGTGGTATGTGAGTGTGCGTTGGTGGTGTTTCCAAGAATCTGGGAATCGAACCATGGCCTTTGGGCGTGACAAACATTTCGCCTTCTGTGCCACCAAGCCCCCTCCATAAAGTATAGGTTGTAAGATACTAAAATATGCGAAATAAATTCGTTGTGTATATTTGCTGTCAACCTTGCTAATACATGAACTTGCTGTAGTCGTGTGTAACTGACCAAGAGCCTTGCTGATGGAGACACAGCCATGTTCGTCGATGCCACAGTAGCTGAGTGACAGGTGGCGGAGTCGGGCGTTAACCTGCAAAATAAAAAAAAACTAACAGTAACTATAGCAATATAGACAAAATCCATTCATATTCAATCCGTGTGAATGTAGTCAGAAATATTTTAGTTACAGCACACATCGCTAAAGCATCAAGTCTGGACCAGACGAACATGTGACTGACACCATGAGTATTGACCTTCGCAACCGGGGCATCAACTGTCTACAGAGCCTGGAGATCAGTGTCAGTTTGGATGCCTCTTACGACTAGCAATGGAGTGCTTGGGAGCGTTGGGGTATTTAGTCGAGAGTCCATTGGAGAATACGAGGCAGGTGCCCTACATCCGGTAGATGGAAATCATATGGTTATCAGCATCAATCTAGAGAAGGGGTACAAAATATTCTTAAACAGCCAGCCTTTTTTACAACCACTGGGACTATACGTGTCAGCGAGGTCGTTAATTCCCAATTAAGCTCCGCTATTTGTATCAGTGGTAATTATCTTCAAATTTGTTCCAATACCAAAAATATGATGGCAAATTTGTATAATTCACAGAAAGAACTACACAACAAAATCCAGGGCCCCACTCCACAAAGCGGTCTTAGCGTCACGACTTAGTAAGCCAGTGTTAAAGTTATGATCACCTTAGCGCTAAGATGGTTTTGTGGAACGGGCCCTGGCCTACACTCCTGTTACCTTCTTTGCATTTCAGTATGTATAAGTAGGCTTATGCCGTTAAATAACAATGGCAGACACTTGTGTAATAGAAGGCATACTTTATCTTATACTGAAGCTTAAATGCAGCAATAAAATAACTAACAAACTGAGCAACACTCTCGTGTGGCCATTACATCAATTCGAGACAGCATCCGTCATTAAATGTAACGTACCATGTATATATAGATATTATAACACGAATGTCTGTGAGATACAAAATATCTAACGAGTTATATATAACAGCCACGAGTGCAGTTATCTGTTTCTTAAACACCTTAAACTCGCACTATTGTCGCTCTGAATCGACGCATATTTCGTCTGTTCTCTGGATCGCAAGGGCGCATCGATAGATAGCACAACGGTCATGCGTGACGTCATCCGATTCAGCGCTAACTACTAATGCATTGTGTGACCTTCCACACAAAACAATAAGCAATATCTGTGGATTATTGAGGCGGGGGGTAATGCAAACTAGATAAGATCAAAGAACAGGTATTATACATTCTAAAACTTGAAAGTTTCGATACAGATGTAGGTGAACTCGACTGAAGCATGAGAAACTTACCAATAAATAACAATCAGGAAAGTAGTCCGTCATAAGCTGAGCTTAGGTCATCACCATCAAGTAGCCAATCACGGACTGGTATTCAATCTTACACGTGTTTGAAACCACTTGTCACAGATTGGTTTCTCACCTACAGGTGTTTACGAAAACCTCACGTGGAACGCCTAAGATGGTTCAGAATCATTCGCATGAATCCACACAAACGATAAGATTTTCATTTAAATGCGTCCCTTGGCCACTTCACAAGCCTATGATTGTGGGTTCAAATCCAAGGTTTGTTACCACCATATCAGGGCTTGTGTGTTTCACCAAAGTGGTAGACCCGTGAAGATTCCGGGATAGAATAGGTCTTCAGCAACCCATGCTTGCCGTAAAAGGTGATTATGCTTGTCGTAAAAGGCGACTAACGGGATCGGGTGGTCAGGCTCGCTGACTTGGTTGATGCATGTCATCGATCCCAAATGCGTGGATTAATGCTCATGATATCAATCACTGGATTGTCTAGTCCAGACTCGATTATTTACAGACCGCCGTCATATAGCTGGAATATTGCTCAGTGCGGCGTTAAACAACAAACCAACCAACCAACCACAAAAGTGGTAAACGTCTGGGACCTGCATCACTTCGGGCTTTCGTCCCACATTATGCTGATATGCCGTGATATAACGCGCGCGCGCACGCACGCATACACCCCCTGAACATCCTGAACATCATCGAGGACAGCAACCACTCCACCTACCTCCAGGGCCTCTCCAACCACTTCAGCGTGCCTTCCGGTTAGGTTGTTGTCTGAACAGTCATAAGAAAGATACATACACGCATGTATAAGGCAATACTACGACATTAAAATAGGTTTCTCCTATATTAAACGCTTTACCAGGGTCTGCTGGTCGTTCAACTCCTACATACACCACGCTTACGATTCTTCAATTGTCGAGTCTTAGTCGTCAGTTGACACCCCGTCATTGCGGACTTACCTGTCTTGATAAAACTGAATTATTGTTCACTCCAGCGTTTCACCGACGTCACTTACAGCTTAATGTTTAATGTTGCACAACGAACAAATACATTTGACCACAGTACTTAATGACGGCTGTGAGCATCTGGCAGGATATGGGAGCATCTGGTAGGATTAGTATGGGGCGGAGCGGTAGCTTACTGCTGTAGAAAGGCGACTATGCTTGTCGTAAGGGTGACTAACGGGATCGGATGGTCAGTCTCGCTGACTTGGTTGATGCATGTCATCGTATCCCAATTGCGTGGATAGATGCGCATGATGTCAATCACTGGAGTGTCTGGTCCAAACTTGATTATTTACAGATCGCCGTCATATAGCTGGAATATTGCTGAGTGCGACGTTAAACAACAAACACACGTGTTGCATAACCCCACATATGCACTGGAGATTAATACTAAATATCAGCACTGATATTGCAATTAGTCACCATACGGTATACAATCCAGGATCCTAAATAAGCCTATTACTTTCTGACATAATCTCCATGAAACCATCTGCTGTGAGAATTATATACTTGAGTAGGTGTTATAAGTAGTAGTATCCCAATAATCTTCGACGTTTGCCTTTAAACGCTACATGTGTTATTATCGCAGATTACATGCGGAATAACGCGACCGTTAATTGCAATTGATGTTCTCCCACAAAAGCATTAGCTGGAAGCGCTCGTAAACTCGGCAGTCATTTCAAGTAGTGGGTGAATGATTTGTGTTTAAAGCCATTTTGGACAGATATTTCAGTTACATCACGGCTTTTCAGGTTAGGTGATGGAGGAGTCTCATTGAAAGCAACGAGACGTCTGCAACTTTTTATGAAACCGACGGAGCAATTCTTGATTCAAACCCACGATCAGCGGATCCTGGCACAGCTTACGGGAGAAAACCATTTCAAGCAGTAAACTCTAATATGCAAGAAGTGATTTTGTTTTACGCCGCAGTTACCTATATTACAGGTCAATAAGAATATTCTGTAAATCATCGAATCTGGGTCAGACAAACCAGTGGTTGATAGCATCAACAATCATTTATACCGTCGGGGTATGATGTTACACAGGTCAACCAGCTCATGTGTTGGAACACCCAATCCCAATTTCGATCGCCTTTTTCTGAAGGGGACTGAATCCTACTGTGGATCGACATCCTCACGGGGAACAGATGACAGGACAATAGTCTTCATTTGTAACACAACGAATTACTGTAAACCATTGGTTAACTTTGGATAGGTATTACCCCGAGATGTCAGCGTACTGGCCAGATAACAGTAAGGCCACTCAGCGTAGTCCGCTAACGACACACAACCTCGGACAGCGCTGCAAACCGTGAAACGAGAGATACTGACTGACTGACTGAGTATGGTTTTACGCCGCTTTTAGCAATATTCCAGCAATATCACGGCGGGGGACACCAGAAATGGGCTTCACACATTGTACCCATGTCGGGAATCGAACCCGGGTCTTCGGCGTGACGAGCGAACGCTTTAACCACTAGGCTACCCGACCGCCCGAAACGAGAGATACAGATGCATAGGCAGGTTAATTGCATCCTCGATAACCCAGTGTTAACATCTTCATTTTATTTTCATCCCATATGGACCCAATGGCTGATGGTCAAGACCCTATATAAATACGTCGTTTTATCAAATTATTGGCCGAAAATGCATTTTTCTACATGTGTATCTATCTGAAAACTCTACTATCAATATGGTATCTCATATAATCAATAATAAAACGTACCTGATATGTCTAGTACTTCAATGGTGTTGTTTGTCTTGAGAAATTTCATCAGAATCGCTATGCCGTCTGTGCCAAGTTTTGTTGAGGCTAGGTACTGAAAGTGGATAGATTAAAGTGTGAATTCCAGGATATTAATGGGAACTTTAACGATAATACGCCCCGGAACATCGAGGATGGGTTGTTGTTGAGGAATGCGACCTACCAGACTGGTGATGTAGCTGTTCTCCTGGAGACACTGCGTCAGGTAATCAGCTCCTTTAAAACCAAGGTCATTACGGGACAGATCGAGAGTCTGGATAGTGTAGTTCTTCTGTAGAAGTAAAGTCAAAGGCAGTTGAATGGAGTTTCATGCAGACAAACCAGTATATTCTTTTTCGTGAACTGCGACCTATGCCATCGGGGATGATGACATTATTTTACAAAGCAGTCATCTATCGAACCATTATACATGCTCCATTTTGATCATCTGATACCTATTTTTCTTAATTGTTTGTTTGTCTGTTTGATGTTTAACGCCGCAGCAATATTCCAACTATATGACGGCGATCTGTAAATAATCGAGTCATTGATGTCACGCAATTGGGACAAGATGACATGCATCAACCAAGTCAGCGAGCCTGACCACCCGATCCTGTTAGTCACCTTTTACGGCAAGCATGGGTTGCTGAAGACCATTTCTAAGCCAGATCTTCTAGGGTGATCATGACTATTGACTAATGTGGTGCTGGGTATATTTTTTTCCAGAAAACTTGTTATCATGTTTGCAGTAGAATGCATCTATATCATTTGTCTTCACTTCAACAGACAGTTGTGGAAAGACGGTATCATTAAAGGGTAGGTTATATCTCTGTATTTCTCATCAATGGATAAAAAAATCGACCTCACCTGAAAATACGTAATTATTGAAGTCCAATTGAATGTGATGGGTTCTGCCTAACGTGTTACACGGAATAGCTAATGTGAAAAATTGTAATAATCGCAAATAACTTCTTTGAGGGGCATTTAGATGTTGGAAAACCAAGTAAGGATAAGATATATGGATGAACAACATCTTTATTACAATTAGGAGCGACGTCTCGTTGAAGGTTCAAACACCGTTATGTACCCATACCCTGATTGTAATAAAGAGGTTTTTCATCCGTATATCTTATCCTTACTTATCACAATCACAAATAATGCCATATGTATTTCACATTTGCCTTACCGTAAGGGCGACACACAGCGCCTTGATGTCAAGCGTCTCCAGCATGCTGTAGCTGACATCCGCTATCTTGTCGTCAACCTGTCTGACGAAGGCATGTGACGGTATGACGTCAAACTGACGACACGCCCTCGCGTACAGGTGTCTGTTGTCGTAGGACACGCCCTCTTCCTCGCTGTCTGGGACATGCAGCAGAAATGTGATAGTACGATTCAGGAAAAGCATGAACAACTTTGCCAATCTATTACCGTGACTATGAACAAACATCCCCAGGCACTGTAGCTCTCCTGGTTCAATTATCCTTTATTCAAGGAAAGTCTTGTTCTATTGTGACTGGAGTGAATGTAATCTCCATGCGGCTTACACACAGCTTAATATATAGATCGTGTGGCAAAGTGACTTCATATGCAGAGAAATGTAGTTACTGGAATCATATTGAAAGCATTTGATAAGACTATAAGTGTATTTAAGATTTTTACTAAATACACGATACGAAAAGAATCATGTTTTTTTTCATTCCCAAATTAAAATCAGGATGCTTCATGTTTTACAGATGCGCATTGAAGTCTCTGTCACCCTGCACTAGATTTGTATGTGCAGATAGATGAAAACTTTCTGCTAGGAAAATCCCTTACTAAAGAGACTGGTAACAACTTTATGCATTTTCGTAAGCTGCACATCAACTATACAGAAGAGCAAAGGTGGCAAATATGTTTATGATATGTATCATGATTTAGTATATATAAATATAAAGTATCACATCCATCCATGAATCTTTATCAGTATTTGCAAATATCACATTCATTCATGAATATCAGTGTTTCCAAATATTTCTTCAACTATATTATCTTTTCGGTAAGAAATGGATGTGAAAATATTCAACCAACTAGCATTAGTATTTTTGCATACATGTATTACATTGTACGTAATTTGAAAAGTCTGGAAATCCCTCAAATAAAAAAAAAAAAATCATCTATTTAATCTCGAAATTATAACATATTTGTAGACATGCGTGCCTGAGTGAGTGAGTGAGTGAGTGAGATATAACGTTAGCCTGTACATTATCGAGTCTGTACTAGACAAACCAGCTGTTAGTGTAATGATCAACGCCCGACGCAATCGGGATACGATGCCAAGTCACCGAGCCTGATAACCCGATCCACGAAGTCGCCTTTTACGTCAAGCGTTCTACCCGGGATGTGTCTAATATGACATATATATTTGTTCAGTAATCTGAAGACTCAAATGTACCTTCAAGCGACGTATCGAACTCTGAGGAGTCGTATGTGTAGTCTAGAGACATATCTGTCTTGCTGCTGGTAGAATTAAGGCTGGAGTTTCCCGGACTGGGCGACGAGCAGACGACACCGGAAAGGTTCCATTCTTCTGATTCCATCTCACCTTTCACCACATTTAATCCATCTTGACAAATGGAATTACTTGCAATGTTCACATTTTGATTAGAATACATATTAAAATTTTCAATTTGAGCTGGGGCACCTTTCGAAGAACGTCGTCGTATCTTGCTACCAGACGACTTCCGGCGAGCCATTGAAGATGTGACTCCGAATAATCTTACATTGTGTTGATCTTCAAAATTCATCCTGTATGACAGTTAGGAATTAGCAACAACCTCCGCCACACTTCTGCTCAAGTCCAACAAACATCAGTTCCCCAAGTTCAAGAATACATGCAGTCAACATCAGAGTACGTCTATTGTCAAGCTCTGAGACACGTTAATGAGATCGACCACCTGTAAACCTTCTGGCTTTTAGATGAGATTATCGTGTAGCTGTTTTAACGTTTGCCAAAGCATTCGTCACAAGGGTCGTTTTCGGAAACGTAATATGTATGGCCGCCTAGGGTTTAGCGGGTAACAATACAACTTATGGATTGTTGCAACCCTCTTACTGGCCTACACTACTCGGAATTACTTGCCTGTCAGAACCAACAAAGGCGAACAAAGAAGCAGATTACTAGATTTGTCAACACAAACAAATCCATATATTTGATTTAGGAATGATAACAATTTTTTTGCAGTTCACGGTCAAATTACAATGGCATAAGGTTTGCAGTGCGGCTTTAACCAATGTTTCGTATACTACGAAAACAGTAATTTGTGAGTTGATCAGATCTCTCTAGCTTGAACGAGCCTGTTATTAGAAACCACAAATCATGTTTAACATTTGGGTGCTTTTTGCTCACTTCAATCATATCACATAAATGCATGGGTACAGTGTAGTATTTCCTTTGTTTCACGTATTATTCGGGCTTGTGCTTTGACAATGTATTAAATTATCAAAAAACATGAATCAGGACATCCTCGTTTATCCAGGGTATTCTATCTCCATTCAATTATGATAAACACCCTGGATCCATTCGCTGTCATAGCTTCGTGTAAGTGAGTGAGTGCGTTGGGTTTAACGCCGCTTTCAACAGTATTCCAGTTATATCGCGGCGTGTCAGCTGAATGTGGGAGGAAAACCCAAAGTGATGCAGGTCTCAGACGTTTACCACTTCGGTGAAACCCACGAGCACGGGAATGGTGCTGACGAACCTAGAAACATAATCGGGACGAACCGGGATTCGAACCCGCAATCATAGGTTTCTGGCGTGCCTAAATGAAGCAAGTCTAGAATTTCCACAGGTTATGAATCTCGTGTCTCAATTTGGCTATTTTGCAAGTTGTTTGTTTCTATCAAAATTATATATTTTCAGAGGCTAAGCGTTAGTATAGACAGATATTTGCTAGTTTGTTTGTTGTTTAACGTCTCCCTCAGCAACACTCCTGCTTTGTGACGGCGGTCTGTAACTAAACGACTCTGGACCAGACAATTCCGTGATTGACATGATGGCCTTCGATCAACGCTATTTGGATGCCATAACAAGCATCAACCAAGTGTCTGAGGTTCACCAACCTGTCCTTTTAGTCGCTTCTAGTGGCAAGGTGGGGACCTATATTCTTACCCGGAATGCCTATGGTCGCTTCGCTGGAGTGAGTGAGTGAGTGAGTATGGTTTAACGCCGCTTTTAGCAATATTCATGCGATATCAAGGCTTCACACATTGTACCCATGTCGGGAATCGAACCCGGGTCTTCGGCGTCAAGAGCGAACCCTTTAACCACTCGGCTACCCAACCGCCCCCGCTTCGCTGGAAGTGACCACACCATCTCCATCGTCAGTGAGTGAATGAGTGAGTATGGTTTTACACCGCTTTTAGCAATATTCCAGCAATATCACGAGGGGGGACACCTGAAATAGGCTTCACACATTGTACCCATGTCGGGAATCGAACCCGGGTCTTCGGCGTGACGAGCAAACGCTTTAACCACTAGCCAGAACGAAGCCATGAGGGCGAATGGGTCCAGGGTATATATATTACAAACATAGAGACAATATACACTGGATAATCGAGGAATCGAACGCCAGTAGCACTTCTTTTCAAGTAAAACAAATCAGTTAATTCAGTTTGACATGATTCGACATTTATCGATCGATCGATACTCATGATATCAATCACTGGATTGTCTGGTACAGAATCGATTATTTACAGACCGTCGTCATGTAGCTGGAATATTGCCGAGTGCGGCATGGAACAACAATCACTCCGACCTCACACATAACCCTAACTGTGCTATGCTATTAGGGGTCACGCCGATAAAATGAGATAGACGTATGGGAATATTTTAAACTTCCAAGACTGCAGTTCAATAACATCTGGAATGAACCATTTTATACCCGCATTGACTGTTACTTGTCATGTATTGCACGTGCATGGGCTAAACCACTGGTTGCGTTCAGGTGTGTGTTTTGGGGTAGTTTTCCCCATCACGTTCAATCTTGCTCTTTTCATTGTTGTTAATAGTTGTCCATTTTTCTGTAACTTTCCATATTAATAAGACACCCCTGCCAAAAAAAGTCGATTGGACGATTCCGCCTATATCATGAGCATTGTGTTTACGAATATAATACGAATATCAAATAGTGATGATACCAGGTGTTCGCGAAAAGGTGAGCGTATCCTGTCCCAATCTCATTAAAATCAGATCTTAGTTCTCGCTACCGCTAAACAAAGATGTGAGGACATCCCATTCGGGTCATGTCAGAACGGCCTTTCGCGAATTTTGACCGACCAATGAAAGGACTGACAAGAAATCGACATTAGCCAATCAGAAGGCAGCTTTCTCGAGCTTCACGACACTAGTTTCAAACTGGCGACTACGCTTCGAAACATATTTTGACGTGTTCTCGATTAATAAAATTAAAACTGATAAGAAGAACGCTCTGGAATAGCTTATAGATGGCCTAGATTGTATGGATATAATCATAAAACCCGTAACTGTCGTTCGGAATACCCCGTGTTAAATATTTCGTGGTTGCATAATTAGAAAACACATTCCGACTGTCACTTTCATGATCTGGTAAGCGACGCTCTGATTGGTTGGATGAAAGGTCGTTCTGACGTGACCCCTCATGGGATGTCCTCAGATCTTTGTTCAGCGGTAGCGAGTACAAAGATCTGATTTTAATGAGATTGATCCTGCCCCACCAGTGGCACCCGTCACAAACACAAAGGCAATTCGATTGTTCACCTGAAAAAACAACACGGGAACATGTGGTACAAGTCAAAACAGGGAATTGTATCGGACATCATTTTTGTCACTGATGCGTAAAAATTTGGAAATGTCCTCCACGTGTCTACCATATAACTTTTTGAAAGCTTTACCGAGGCCTTGAATGTTGTAACCTTGATGAAACAACTTCTGACGCTCTTTGAAATCTTGGTAGAAAAAAAAAAAGAAAAAAAAAAAAGGGGCGGTCGGGTAGCCTAGTGGTTAAAGCGTTCGCTCGTCACACCGAAGACCCGGGTTCGATTCCCGACATGGGTACAATGTGTGAAGCCCATTTCTGGTGTCCCCCGCCGTGATATTGCTGGAATATTGCTAAAAGTGGCGTAAAACCATACTCACTCACTCACTCACTGGTAGAAAAAGCATGCTCGATTGTACCTCTAAAGTTGTGAAATGTAGATACAAAGGACTTGGGCTGCAGGAATATTGCTCGAAATAATATACTGTATATGTTTGGAAAGCTTAAGTGAGGCTTTAAATGTTGTAATTGATCAAACAACTTTTGAGCTAGAGTCGTATTACGCTTTTCGTAGAAAGAGAATGCTTGGTTATACCTCAAATGTTGTGAAATGGAAATGGAAATGCTGTGAGCCTCGCAGAGCAAGAATTGCGTAATTGTAACATTTTTTGTTGTGAGCAATATAATATAGTGTCATTAGGGTATATCCACGCACAAATATGAGTCAGTTGAGCAAATTGTTTCCCCGCGACAAGTCAGTAAAATAAGCAGGGATCTTTGACCTTTGGGAATTGGACTGCGCCCCTCCTGGTTTATTCTCCCTGCAGTGTTTTATTGTACGATGAACAACTCCTACTCGTCGTTTATTTCTTATAAATATATTGTTTGTTTGAGTTTTCTCACCGAATAGGTTATATCTATATGACAAGACCATGTAGCTGGTTTCTGGTATATAAAACCCAAGTGCTAATGGATATTTGCAGGACTGATTTCTATATAATCTGAACCGCAAAAGAAACGTCACCCCAAGTAACATTGCATGAAAAATTGTCATGTCTATATCTTGGTAATATTTTGTCAAAGTTACTAAAATTTAACATTACCTTGTCCGGAGAAATGAAATTTGATGATAAAAAAACAAACCAGATGACAATAAAACCGATCGCCTAAACGCATCATGGCAACGGCCATGGTAATCCGATGCACGTGAGTTCCGTGCAAATTGAAATGCACATGCGTTCCCCCATTTCTTGCCATATAAAAATCCACCCAGATCGGATAACATTCATTCGTTATTGAATTGTACCACATGCCAAGATTGACAAGAAATCAGCGACACCAAGCCCTTGGACGATTGCAAGCTGGACAAACCGCCCGGCAAGTAGCCAATGCACTTCAAGTCCACGTAAGGACCATATACAGGCTCTAGCAACGGTACCAGACCACCAACACTACAGATGACCGACCACGTAGTGGAAGACCAAGGGTCACCACCCGACGTCGGGATCGTCAGATTGTGCGACAGCATCTTCACGGTCGCTTTGTTGCTGCTGCAGAATCTGCTCGACAGACCATGGGGACACACCAGCGACACATTAGTGCGGACACCGTGCATCAACGATTGACGAGCAGATACCTCCACTGTCACAGGTCACACCGAAGAGCCATTCTGACAACACGTCATCGCTGGGACCGTCTTCAGTGGGCTACACAGCACCAGCATTGGCACCATTAGCAGTGGAGAAGAGTCCTCTTCTCAGACGAGAGCCATTACTGTATCTCAACAGCAGATGGCAGAGAGTCTG